TAGCATCAGCACTGACGGGGCAGCAGTGATGATGGGCGCGAAGTCTGGACTTGTTACTCGTCTCCGACTGCGCATTCGTCACCTCGTCTCCTGCCACTACATAGCGCATTGGTAACCATGTGGTTTTTTCATTCGTATTTCGGCCTGGCGAGTAGCCATGTATGTTTTGCCTTGTCTAACTCTCCCTTCAACTATTCGTGTTCTGTGCACATCCTTGCGCAGTGAGGCTCTGGCCGCCAAAACCGCGGCCGACGACCTCCCCGCCTTCATGATGATCGACGATGTCATCCGAGAGCTCGCTGAGTTCCTCGGACCCTCGGGGCCGTGGCATCAACGCTTTCTCGAGCTTCAGGATGTCTTCCTCTTAGCTGCAGGGTATTCACTACGTTAGGTGGCTTTCCCGCAGGGATGCCATCCAACGGTTGGTGAAGGTTTTGCCGGCAATCATCGTGATACTGTCTGAGTTCCCAAACGATAGGCTGTATACCATTGCTACCAGCTATCGTTTCTGGTTTCTCTTGATGTTTCTGGCGGATGTGCTTGAGCAGATGAACACGCTCAACAAGATCTTCCAGGCGCGTCAGGTAAACTTACTGTGTGTCTTTGCTAAACTGCTGGACTGACATCTTTCCGTGCCTTACCTGTGTGCACCACCCCTTCCTTGCAGCTAGACATCTCCACCATCCACTCGTCCATTGCTCGCGTGAAGTCCTTGCTCCTAAGCCGCTACGTCGACTGCGGCGACGACTTCAACGGGGCGCCGAAAGACCGGCTCACGGAGTTCCTTACCCTTCACGGCCCTTCCGGTTCGCGGCGCGTCACCGTTGAGGGCATTGACTCGGACGGTCGCCCGCGGCGCAAAAGCTTCATCCTGCACATGAAGGACATCGGCTATCCGGGCGAGGGGAAGCACGATGACTGCGTCACACTGTGCATGGCAATGGCGGAGGGCATGGCCAACAATTTGGAGGAGCGGCTGGGTGACCTGAAGCAGTTGAGTGGCGTCATGTTGTTTTGCGTCGACCACTGGCCGTTGCTATGGGCACGTACGGCCTGGATCAAGCAGTGCATCGAGTGGTTCCATTCCCTTGTCCTTCTGTACCACGCGGAGGGAGCTAAAGAGGTCTTACCGGGTAAGGGTTTAGCTCATTATCAAGTGGTCTTTTGTGTCATCAAGCACCGAAGTCTGACACGATTGTTTTACTTCCCCTTACCTCGTTGACAGGCATTGGCACACAGTCGGTCGTTAAGGAGATTCCCCACTTCACCCCTGTCATTGCAGCGCTGCCGCAGAGCGAGAAGGGATTCTTCACAGGGTTGACGACCATTATGAAGAAACCGGACTGGGAGCATAGCTACCCCAAACTTGTTAAGCTGTGGTGTGCAACGGCGGTTCTTCCTCTGAGTACAGTGGAGTGCAAGCGCGGGTTCTCCCGCCAGAATGTCATTAGAAGCTGGCTGTGTGGCACCTTGAAGGACTCTCGCCTAGGAGACTTAATGTGCATGAGTTTGTTAGATTACGAGCCGGACTGGGACGCCGTGATAGAGATCTGGAGGGCTTACAAGAAGAGAAAGCCATATAGCAGGGCCCAGAAGAGCTGCAAGGGAAAGGAACCAGCTGAAGACATACCTAGAGAATACCATGATAGCATAGCTGAGGAGGATGAGGAGGAGGATGCTTACCGTAATCCCCCGTATAAAACACCCTATGGTGTTAATAAAAATGCAACGAAATTTTGGGTTGGGTGTAATTAAAGGCAAAAAAAATACAGCACCCAGGAGTTATGGAATGTGCATATGCAATTTTTGATTTGAATTCAACTGTACTTGTGACAGGGCATTGTTCTGAGTATGGAGTCCCATTCTGCTATCTGATCGCGTACCCAACGATTTGGTCCATGTGCATGCCACATCGTCTACATAAGCTGCTGATTCAGTATGCTGCCAGGGTAGCCAATCAGCTTGTGCTGCAGGCAGCCACCTTGATGCCTCCAGCCCACGCTGTGCCAGCACAGCATGGGGTGGCGAAATCAACGGCACATTTTGTCGATGCCTTCTCACGACCGGCCAGCGCACGGAATCACACATTCTGGATGGTCGTGAGAGGCATTTCATGGGCGACATGGACGAGGGAGTCGCCCACGTCCCTGCCTTCCCCTCCAACCCACTCTTGAAGTGGGTCTACCCCGCTCCGTGCTCTCATTTTCAGTTTCGACTCCAGGATGCCTTCAAGACAGCCCCTGCAAGGGCTGTCTAAGGCATCCTCTAGCTCCGTCTCTGTAACGTCCCCCCGCCATGGCCTCAGGCTCTGGCTTATCTCGCCTTCTGACTCAAAAGGGCCCTTATGGCCAGCAGACGTTTTTACTTCGTCGGTCCTCTGCCGACGGCGATGCCGCAGCGAAGACTCTACAAACTTCGATGCCGCAGCGACAGACTCTACAAACTTCGATGCTGCTGCGACAGATTCTGCAAGCGGCGACGCCGCTGCGACAGATTCTGCAAGCGACGATGCCGCTGCGACAGATTCTGCAAGCGGCGACGCCGCTGCGACAGATTCTGCAAGCGGCAATGCCACTACGACGGAAGGGCGTCGTCCCCTGCCGCGCGTCAGCGTGCCGAGTTTCCCGGAGCCCATTCGACGACCCCGTGGTCCTACCTTGAATCACGAGGTCCATGCCCCCGCATCTCGAAGCAGGATGACAAAGCGGAAGCGCCGCTCGTACTCTGCCTCGGAGAAGTTGTACTGGCTTGCCATGTTCGATGCTCAACCCGACCTCTCTGTGCGTGGACTCGCAAAGCTTGCAGGTGTCCAGCCGGTGTCGATTCGGGAGTGGAAGAATGCTCGCGAACGCCTCCGTGTCGCCGCCGGCTGCCGCAGACGCCTCGTCGGTGCCGGACGTCCCGCGAAGTACCCGACGATGGAGAGTGCCCTCTACCGACAGTTCCTGAGGCACCGCGGGAGGGGGCTTGCCGTCTCCGTCAAGCTGCTGCAGAAATGGAGTCGCTCGTACATGCGCGTACATCATCCCGACGTCGACTGGAGAGCGTCGAGTCACTGGACGTTCAGATTCCGCGCGCGCTGGGGCCTTACGCGTCGGGTAAAGACGAAGATGGGGCAAAAGCTCGCCGACGGTAAACTGTCGTCCCATCCTTGTTATTCAATCCCTTGCCGCGACTTTCAATATTTGATTCTTTTGATTGTCTTGCTTCTCGCGTGTTCATGCATGAATTTGTTCTCCGACTGTTTTGTTCTAGGCAGACATGAGGACGAAGATCGAGAAATTCTGGGAGTTTGTCAAACAGATGCGGATTCTCAACCGGTACAACCTCGACCACATCGTGAACGCCGACCAAACCCCCCTCTTCATCGAAATGCCCCAGGAGAGGACGTTGGAGCACAGAGGCTCCCGTACGGTGCATGTGAGGACGGCCGGCTATGAAAAGGAGCGGCTCACCGTCATGTTGGCAGTCACCGCATCAGGATTGAAGCTCCCGCCGTATGTCATCTTCAAGCGGAAGACGCTGCCAAAGATTCAGGTTCCCCCGGGTAAGAATCGCCTTTGCTTTTCGCTCTGTGCATAGTGTACACCGATGCATACCCTCTAACTGTTGTGGTGTCTTGTGATTGTATCCAGGTGTCATCATCCGAGCCCAGCCGAAGGGCTGGATGGACGAGAAGCTTGTCCAGGACTGGACTACCCAAGTCCTGAACCCGTTCTTGCGCCCGCTGCGCGAAGCGGGGAATAGGCGCAAGGAGGCGCTCGTCATCCTGGACTCGTACAAGGGCCACCTCACGCAAGCAGTCGGGCAGACGATGAAGCTCTGCAAACTTACCCGCGCGGTCATCCCAGGTGGTTGCACGCCTCTCGTTCAACCGCTGGACGTCGCAGTGAACAAGAGCTTCAAGGCTGGCGTGCGCGGCGACTACGGCGCGTGGTTTGAGCAGTTCGGCATCGACCAGAAGACTGCGGCAGGTGAGTTCCTTCCTAGTCGCTTCCTCACTAGTTATTAGACTTCTTGCTTGTTGACGAATTCCACCGTGCCCGTTCCCAGTCGTTATCTTACCGTGCCTGTGTTCTTCTCCTCCCATTATGCTCCCGTCCCATGTGCAGGAAATCTGAAGAAGCCTCCGGCTGAGCTCATCTTGAAATGGATTGCTCGGTCATGGGAAGCTGTGCCAGAGGAGCTCGTGCGTAGTTCATTCAAGACGTGCGGTATATCAAATGCGTTGGACGGCACCGAGGACAACCTCGCTCTCCGCCACCTCCGCGGCAAGCCCGACCTCGAGGTGATGGACGATGTCCACGTCGAGGAGGGCAAGAGCGGCTACATCAACCCCCTCTATGACGCCTTCATCGATGTGGACGGGGACGTCGCCGACGACGAAGAGGCGGATGCGGCGTCGCTGGCGGCTGACGACATCGACTATGCTGAAGCGGCAACCGAAGCAGCTGAGACGAGCGCAGACAATGCAGAGACTGCATCAGCAGCAGCAGCAAGTGTTGATGTGTGGCCGGCAGAAGGCATTGCAGAGGAGGATGACGACAACTGCTGGTGGGATGAGCTTGCAGATGGGAGCGATGTCGAGATGTGGCAGGCTGGTGATGAGGAGCCTGAGGAGGACGATTAGAGCAGTGGCAGAGGCATGAGTATCTGGCGTAGTGTAAGGATTTAAAGTGTAGTGGATAATTTAGGTTCTAGGTAGAGCCAATAGGTAGGATTCAAGCCCCAGGTGGTGCCACTAACTAGTTCAGCTGTTAATTTTGCTGAGTAGTGACTAGGTGTACTCTAGTTGTATTGCTAACGTCTAATTTAAGAAGTTGTATACAGCAAAACGTCGAAAAAAACGTTTTTTTCATCTCGGGGGAGGGTGGTCAAATGTTTTCAAGGCCAAGGGTAGGGTGGTAACTAAATCCAGTTAAATTAAACACCCATACCCGCTCAAGCTACCCGGGGGAGCTTAATTCCGGCGGGTGTTTTATACGGGGGATTACGGTAAGTAGATTATGCTTATTTTATGCTTGTTTCAAATACGGTATTCGCTAGTGTTGATGTTCAGCGCCATTCTAGCGTGCAACCCTGTTTACTCAGGATTTTTTTTTAACCACCCCTGTTAGCTCAGCCAAAAAAAAAAATGTAGTCCTGAAAAACCAGGGGAAAGGGGGGGGGGGGGGGGGACCCTGAGCAATCAGGGTACCTTAAAGCCAATCTGAGGCCCTGGGGAGGATGACACGACAGGGGGAGAACTGTTGCTTCCCCAGCAGGTTGAGAGAGAAGAGAAGCGCAGCGGTGATCAATCAAAGCAGCGCAGCATTGTGGTTGACACGACGTTCTGAGGAGTGTGCGGTATTGTGTCTATTTTTTAGGCGCCTCAAAAACAGATCAATCAAAGCAGCGCAGTATTGTGGTTGACACAATGTTCTGAGGAGTGTGCGGAATTGTGTCAAAGGTGCCTCTTGGCTAGAGCCCTGACTCTAGCGTCAAAGACCGTTGATATGATCTTGGAGCCAGGGACATGGAGCGGGTTCATGAGCACCTGAGAGAGAGGGAGGAGGGGGTGGGGGGAGGGGGGGGAGAGAAGAGAGGGAGCTGACCGAGCAGAAGTGGTCTGCCTGGAAGAGACGCGCAGAGAATGGGAGAGGAATGAGGCAGAAAAGAGCAGGCACAAGGCTGGACCACACGCAGAAAAAGGAGAGCACCAGGCAGAGGAAAGATGAGCGGTTGGGCTCACAAAGAATATGCGCACTGGTTTACCTTGATGTTAAGACTCATACATACCTTGATGTTAAGACTCATGCATACCTTGATATTAAGGCTCATGCATACCTTGATGTTACGGCTCATGCATACCTTGATGTTAAGGCTCATGCATACCTTGATGTTAAGGCTCATGCATACCTTGATGCTAAGGCTCATGCATACCTTGATGCTAAGGCTCATGCATACCTTGATGTTAAGGCTCATGCATACCTTGATGTTAAGGCTCATGCATACCTTGATGTTAAGGCTCATGCATACCTTGATGCTAAGGCTCATGCATACCTTGATGTTAAGGCTCATGCATACCTTGATGCTAAGGCTCATGCATACCTTGATGTTAAGGCTCATGCATACCTTGATGTTAAGGCTCATGCATACCTTGATGTTAAGGCTCATGCATACCTTGATGTTAAGGCTCATGCATACCTTGATGTTAAGGCTCATGCATACCTTGATGTTAAGGCTCATGCATACCTTGATGTTAAGGCTCATGCATACCTTGATGTTAAGGCTCATGCATACCTTGATGTTAAGGCTCATGCATACCTTGATGTTAAGGCTCATGCATACCTTGATGTTAAGGCTCATGCATACCTTGATGTTAAGGCTCATGCATACCTTGATGTTAAGGCTCATGCATACCTTGATGTTGAGGCTCATGCATACCTTGATGTTAAGGCTCATGCATACCTTGATGTTAAGGCTCATGCATACCTTGATGTTAAGGCTCATGCATACCTTGATGTTGAGGCTCATGCATACCTTGATGTTAAGGCTCATGCATACCTTGATGTTAAGGCTCATGCATACCTTGATGTTAAGGCTCATGCATACCTTGATGTTAAGGCTCATGCATACCTTGATGTTAAGGCTCATGCATACCTTGATGTTAAGGCTCATGCATACCTTGATGTTAAGGCTCATGCATACCTTGATGTTAAGGCTCATGCATACCTTGATGTTAAGGCTCATGCATACCTTGATGTTAAGGCTCATGCATACCTTGATGTTAAGGCTCATGCATACCTTGATGTAAAGCTCATGAACTTCCTGGAAGAAGTTCTTGATCCCATCCTCGTTCCGCGCGTCATGCAACAGCAGCAGCTTCGTTTGTGCTCGACCAAAACGGCATGGTTACAACACGATTCAAACGATTTCAAGTTCCAGATGCGATTGAGACGGATCGAAAACAGCCCGGGGTTAGGGGACCACCGAGATGACAGAATGACTCCGGTTAAGGAAAATACAGGAGGGGGACATGGAAGGAAGCAAAAGGAAGGATGCATTCTGGACACTCCGGTCCGGGACATAGCAGCTAGCAGGGAAGGAGGCCAGGAAGATGAAGCAGAGGAAGAAGCAGAGGAAGAAGCAGACGAAGAAGCAGAGGAAGAATGACTGGTGTGGCAGCAGAAATGAAGTGGCACAGATGGGGCCGCACAGGGAGAGAGTCAAAGGGAATGGATTTAGTTGACGAAAGGTGAGTGCATGGATGCGGTGGCTTGCCGCTCCAGCAGGGGACGCAGATGCATAGTCAAGTCACACAGAACGGGGGAGAGCGTGATGGTAGCGAGAGATAAATAGGGAGAGAGGGACAGAGACAGAGAGAGAGGGAGAGAGACAGAGAGAGAGGGAGAGAGACAGAGAGAGGGGGAGAGAGACAGAGAGAGAGGGAGAGAGACAGAGAGAGAGGGAGAGAGACAGAGAGAGAGGGAAAGAGAGGGAGCGATAGGGAGAGTGTGTGTGACGGTGGCAGGGAGCGGATATGACCAGCGGTGACATAGACGGAGACGAGCAGGTCGTTGAACTTGTCCACTGCCTTGAGGTACCTGATGCACGCATGGGCGCATGGCAGGGGGGAAGGGGGGAAGGGGGGTGGGGGGAAGGGGAAAGGGGGAGAGTGGGGAGACTTTTGCATGCCGACTCAAGAGGCTGCAATAGACAGAGACGAGCAGATGGTTGAACTTGTTCACTGCCTTGCGGTGCCTGATGCATGCATGGGGACATGCATGGGGCATGGATTGGGGCATGCACGGGGCAGACAAGGGGGCATGCAAGGGGGCATGCATGGGGGCATGCATGGGGGCACGCCTGGGGGCATGCACGGGGGCATGCATGGGGCCATGCATGGGGGCATGCATGGGGTCATGCATGGGGGCATGCATGGGGGCATGCATGGGGGCATGCATGGGGGCATGCATGGGGGCATGCATGGGGGCATGCATGGGGGCATGCATGGGGGCATGCATGGGGGCATGCATGGGGGCATGCATGGGGGCATGCATGGGGGCATGCATGGGGGCATGCATGGGGGCATGCATGGGGGCATGCATGGGGGCATGCATGGGGGCATGCATGGGGGCATGCATGGGGGCATGCATGGGGGCATGCATGGGGGCATGGGGGCATGCATGGGGGCATGCATGGGGGCATGCATGGGGGCATGCATGGGGGCATGCATGGGGGCATGCATGGGGGCATGCATGGGGGCATGCATGGGGGCATGCATGGGGGCATGCATGGGGGCATGCATGGGGGCATGCATGGGGGCATGCATGGGGGCATGCATGGGGGCATGCATGGGGGCATGCATGGGGGCATGCATGGGGGCATGCATGGGGGCATGCATGGGGGCATGCATGGGGGCATGCATGGGGGCATGCATGGGGGCATGCATGGGGGCATGCATGGGGGCATGCATGGGGGCATGCATGGGGGCATGCATGGGGGCATGCATGGGGGCATGCATGGAGCCGCCGCATCACATGGTCCATCAACTAAGTACATCCCTTTTCCAAAGTGGTGCTCTAAGTCACCAAGCTACACTCGGTTCCCTGTCCAGACTCCTCCACACGGCTTCCCCTCATGCCCGCCATCCCCTTTCATATGCCCTTTCCCCCTTTCCTAACACATGATGCTACTGGCCGCTTTCATATGCCCTTTCCCCAGTTCCCCCCCATCCCTATGCCCCTCATCCCTTCCCCCCCATTATAACTCCCTTCGCTCTTTATCTCCGCCCCCACGTTTCCAACCCTCCCCCCCCCCTCTTTCCCCTGTTATCCTTCCTTCCCGCATCCCCCGTCATCCCCTTCCTCCCCCCATTCCCCCAACACCCGCCCCTCCCGCCCGCGCCCCTTCTACGTGTTGTTGGCGGCCCACACGGCGCCCTGAACGTTGTGCATGGCGGCGTGCACTGCGAACTGCACGCGGGCTACGTTATGCTTTTGAGAATTCTATAAAAGCATAACACGATGATGAGACTTTTGAGTCGACTCAAAAGTCACCTGGTCACATAACACGGTGATGATGAACGGCACGCGGGCCCTAATCTCTGCCCTGCTCATCTCCCTTCCCCTCATCCCACTCGCACATGTTGTTGGTGGCCCACACGGCGTCCTGCACGATGTCTATGGCGGCGTGCACTATGAACTGGTGCAGATGCGCCGCCTCGTCGCGCTGCCGGGGGAGAAGAGGAGAAGGTGGGGGGGGGGAGGGGGAGAGGGTGATGGGTGGGAGGGAGCCGCGGCGGTACAGTGGGAGGGCGCAGGGGAGGGCGCAGCGGAAGGGCGCAGGGGGAGGGAAGAGGGGGAGGGCGCATGCGAAGGGGGCAGGGGGCAGGGGGGGGGCAAGGGGAAGGTAGGGGACGCAACGTGTAGGGGGAACCCGGGAGGAGTGGGGCCGGGCGGGACGTGACCTATGAGAATGAGGAGAACCTCCAGAAGGGAACAATCGGTGAATCAGAAGACGCGCTGTAACGCGGATAGGGAGCGAACGGCAACACCAGGTGCTAGGGAGGCGGGGGAAGGCGGGGGTTGGGGGGGGGAAGGGAGAGGAGAGGGGAGGAGCTTGGGGACAGGAAGAGAATTATGCTAGGAGGAAGCAAGCGAAGCGGCAAGGCAGGAGAGCATATGGAACGACGATTCTGCTTATAAAGAGTACGGCACCCGTACCCGGGGAGCGGTGCCGAGTTCGGCATCGTAGAGCGGACAGTCATTGCGACCCACTATAACGAAGCACAGCGTCGAAGACATCCCCCGGCACTGTCACCCGAACACCAGGATCGATCTCGACTACTCGATCCAGAACTGTCCTCGCCTGAAGTCGACTCGCTATCAGCGAATCTCGTACCGACAAAAGAATCTGTGAAGAGCAGGGAACGGTAAGTACTGATCGTACTCAGGTAGCAATAACCGCCATATCCAGCGCACGCGGCTCGTAAAAAGCTGGACTAAGGCACGCGGCTCCGCTGACCCAACGCGGTTCCACTATTCTGCTATCCCACGCGGCTTGGTCCGTGTTGAGCTATCTATTCCACGTGGATGAGCTCATCTCCGTCGACTCGAGACAAACCCGAGGAACCAGCAGGCGAGAGAGTAGCAGCGGTCCCTGACTTGACCCCTGACACCTGACCCCTGTCACCTGACTGCTGACGCCCGGACGACCGGGCGGCCACTACGAATGTCTCTTTCGCTAATTTCACGCGACGCAACGAGTGTGTCTTCTAGACACCCGCAACAGCCGGACGCACTATTGGCGTGTATCCGTCCAGCAGAGGAGTTGCTGCAGAAGGGAGGGTAAAATCAGCGGCGAATGCGAGGAGATGGCCAACCAGCAGGATTTCGTTACTTCAAGCAGGAACAGACAAGGCACACAGGTTCGAATACGCGATAAAAGCAGCATGACGGCCAGAAAACCTGAAAGCACGTAGTCCTAACAACTGTATGACTAAGCTGAGTTGCCATATGCGCCTATATTTCAATTCATACAACTTTTAACAGGTTAGAAAAAAACATAGCAAAGGATCCTACTAGTCCCCACTGTTACCATCAAACCCCAATGGCTCTCAAAGAGGGCCTTCCCCTCTTCCCCCACCTCCCCCCCCAAAACCCCCCCATACAACCACCTAATCCCAGAATGGCAAGGAAAAAGAACCAACCACCATAAAACCGCATCCTTCCTACCCATGGCGTCCAGTCCACCCCACCCACACCCCACATCCACGCGTTTATTTCTTGGCATACGAGACGAGCATGGGGTGCGTGGGCGTGATCTTGAACCCTTGCAGCCCGCGCAGGGCAACGCTGGCCTGCACCTCGTCGATGAACTCCACAAAGGCAATCCCCGGCTTGGCATCCACCATGCGCACCTCCCTGAACCCCGCAAACTGCTGGAAAAGCATCTGCAGCATCGCCGGGGTGGTTTCCACCGGCAGGTTCTGCACGAAGAGCACACTGTTGGGCGGCGCAGGCGGCTCGTTCGCCCCTGGGATGGCCCCTGTGCCCCCCTGAAAAGGGGGTGGGGGGAGGGAGGAGTATTTGGAGAGGAACGGAATATCGCAGGAAGAGGAATAGGGAAGGGGAATAGGGAAGGGGAATAGGGAAGGGGAATAGGGAAGGGGGTTTTACGGAGAAGAATCGGGTACAGGCGAGCAGGCAAGACAGGCGTTTAGCATGCAAGGGAGCAGCACAGGGGGGAGAGCACACGGCACCAGAGGCACAGGTAGCCATCCATGGTTATGTGATGCAGCAAAAAGCAGCAACGCCACGCCACACACACATTCTAGGCTACACATGAAGAAGCGAGTTTACCAAGGGACCTCCCAGGCCACAAGAAAATTCCAAGTAGGGCTTTCCCTTACCCTTTCCTCCTCCCCCCCTCCCCCCCCCCCCTTCCCCCCCCCGGCCTTCGCCCCCCCTGCCCTTTCCCCCCTGGCATTCGACCCCGCCTGCCCTTTTCCCCCTGCATTCGCCCCCCCAGCCCTCCCCCTCCCACCCACCTGTGCATAGGCTGCAGCAGCAGCAGGCGCACGCCCCCCTCCTGCTGCTCCCGCTGCCGCATGCTCCTGCTGCTGACGACGCCGGGCTGATAGGAGGAGGAGAGGGGTGGGCAGCAAGAACGAACGGAATGCGTGGGGAAGGGAAAGGGGAAGAGACGAACGGATGAGGGGGAATGAAGGCTGGCGGAAACTGAGTGAGCGGATGGTAAGAGAAAGTTGAAGAGAGAATGCGTGAGTGAGTGAGTGTGTGGAGAGAGGAACGGGGAAAGAGAGACGAGGGAGGGCGGGAGGGCGAGTGTGAGAGGGTGGGAGGGAGGGAGGGAGAACAAGACATATGGCACAAGCGCATACCTCGTTCCTCGTGTCGCTTGCGCTTTTCTCTCGGAACAAATGTGCCATCCGACTTGGCCACCACGTCAGACTTTGTCTTAGCATATGAGATCCTCTGAAGGCGACAACGCGGGAGAGGGGGGGTTAAGGGGGGGGGGGAGAGGAGGGGGAGGAAGTGGAAGAGGTAGGTCAGGGGAAAACGGGGGGAAGCTTTGTGTCAGTCCCACATGGGCTCGAACAAAGGACAGAGGGGAGCGAACTGGGAAGGAAAAGAGAGAGAGAGAGAGAGATTTCGTATGGACATACGGAGCAAGAGCGACCTGCCATGGTGAGTACAGGCTTTGCATGCGCACACGAGGGGGAGAGATGGGAGGAAGAGGGAAAAGAGATGACCGCACCAAACCACACCAAACCACACCAAGCCACACCAAGCCACGCCAGACAACATCCAACCCCATCTCCCGGCTGCACGCCACGTGGCACCACGCCACAGCGCACCATGGGCTTATCGTAGAACGGGAAGCCCTGCATCTGGCGCAGCGCGTTGGTGGCGGCGGTGACATCCTCGAACACCACCCACGCCTGCCCGCGCAGCCGCAGCGTCTTGAGCGCCACAATGTCCAGGATCTTGCCGAACTGCGAAAACACCGCGTACAGCGACTTCTTCAGCTCTGCGGGGGGGGGAAGGGGGCAAGTGGTTGCGACCGAGAGAAGGATCTTGCCGAACTGCGAAAACACCGCGTACAGCGACTTCTTCAGCTCTGCCGGGGGTTGGGTGGGGGGGGGGGGGAAGGGGGCAAGTGGTTGCGACCGAGAAAAGGATCTTGACGAACTGCGATAGCACCGCGCACAGCGGCTTCAGCTCTAGGGGGAGGAGGAAGAAGGACGGAGGAGGGGGAGGGGGGGAGGGGGGGGGGGGAAGAGAGAGGGCGGGGCGGAAGAGGCGCGAAGTGGAGGAAGAGAGGATGCGGATGGAAAATCATGCAAGGACGGAGCGACTTTTGAGTCGACTCAAAAGTCACATCATGCAAGGAAGGAGCGGGGAGGGGAAGAGAAGGAGGGAAAGGGCGGCAGCTATCGTGGGGTGGGGAAGAAAGAGCAGCAAGATCTAAGATAAAGATAACGGCTTTTTCTTCGTTCAACCCGTGCCAACGGCTCCGCTCGCACCGATGCCGTCAATTCCCGCTTCGGATCGGCACACGTGGCGTGTCACGCCTTGCTCGTCGCAGCGCGAGTCACGGGTCACGTGCTGCAAGCCAAATCCAACCTAATCCGATCAAATCTAATCTATAACTAACTCAATCGAATCCAATCTGACTGCACAGTGAGCAGCACGGCGGGCGCACCTTCCTTCTTGATTTTCTCATTGAGGTTATTCAAGTATATGGTCTGATTCGGCGGGACATCCGCGCCCTGCAGCATCGTGGCTCCCTACTCCTCTCCTCCGCCTCCCTCGTCCCTTCCTTGCACCTCCTGATTACCGCGCCGTCACTTCTCGTTAGCCGCTTCGCGCTTGCGAGGTTGTGAGAGAAAGAGAAGCCCTAATGTCTTGCGAGGTTGACGACGACCACTGCGCGCCGAGCTTCTCTCGATTCACCCACCCTGACCTACCCGTCCGGCCTCGCACACGTCTTATCTTATTCTCGACAGCAAGCGCAACGCGATTAGGAGATGCATACGAAGGAGAGAGTTTCAAGGAACATGCGGACCACGTATTCACACTCTTATGGGCAGGAGCACTAGAACGGGCGCTGGACAGTATGAGCGAACAAAACCCTGATGCGAGGGGGGTAGTGGAAACGAAAATCGATCTGCTTAGGGCGTGTCCTGCGAGTACGTTTCTCGCCCGAGAACCAACCCAACAGTTCCAGATCCTCAAAATTAACTTCTGCCTCGCAGAGAATCTCACCCAACCTCAATCAGACGTACGCGCGGGACACGCCCTTAGCATAAGGATACGGTTTTCATGTCGAAACAAATGCGGGTATCTCGTGTACAACAGATGAGAATATATACGCAAGACTTACGATTTTGCACTTAAGCTCTAACTCTCGTTATCAGAATCAATCTACACTACTGCTGGTCAGACTGTATGATCTTTTAGCACACACGAGGCAAAATCCAGGCCCTCGAATTAAAGGTCGCCCACGGAATTATTCCTGCAAGATACTCTACTTTTGAGTCCTCCCAAGTTAATGCATCACACCAAACCGGCTTTCTAGACCAAGCGAGCATCAAACTCCCCTTATTCGTTCCACAACAAAAAGTGGCATCTCGCTTGCGTCCTTCTAAACCCTTGATGATCAAGGGAGCGAATTCAAGATGTACCAACATCATTTTCTGTTACCAGCTCACTTTCCTCCATACCCCTGCAAGCAAGAGAAATGCAAACATCAAGGGGAAGGCAACAGGGCATCAGTTGACAGGTGGAACACAGGTAAACACACAGAAACACACAAATTGGAGTGGGCCAACTGCAAAGCAAGAGAAAAGTCACGCTGCAAGCACAAGACTCCTGGCCCTTCTGCGATTCATTGCCATACCCGTCCGCGCATCATGCCTCGGCCGCCCACATTGCCGCCATAGCCGAATTTGGGCTTCTTCTCCGCAGGCTTGAGGATCTGAAAGGAGCACATGAGGCTCTCATCCACGCTCATCATGGCGCCCGCGTTGTCAAACTCGCCACAGTAATTCGGCGCTGAAAAGACCGTCACCAGTTGGCGCTTGGCAAAGAACTCATAGCCATCCTCCACCACCTGCAGAGGGTAACGATGCACAAGACGCAAGGATGGTGAAAAAACATTTGAGAACCACCAGAGAACAAACAAAACGCAAAGCCATACAGAGACACAGAAATACGAATATATAACATGCATGTGCCCGACTTGTGCCATGCACATGCCCACGCCCATACCCACCCCATGCCCATGCCCACGCCCCTGCCCCTGCCCCCGCCCCTGCCCCTGCCCCTGCCCCTGCCCCTGCCCCTGCCCATGCCCATGCCCATGCCCATGTGCGCATGTTTGAACCCAGATCAATCCTCTCATACCTGGTGCGCCCGGCACACCAGGTCCAGGTCGTGCTTGTCCAGGAACTCCGTCACAGCGTCAGGGCCAAACGTGTACGACACGCCACGGTCGTTGTCCCCCCACCCCTGGATGTCCTTGTCCGGATCCGCCCACAGCAGATCGCACAGCAGCCCCGCGTCAGGAACGTCTGTGGGCCGTCCGATCTTCTTGATCTGGTCCAGGGAGCGCAGCTCCGGGGAGAGGCCGCCGTGCATGCAGAGGATCTTCTCGTCTATAAGCGCCGCCACGGGCAGGCAGTTGAAACACTCCGTGAACGTCTTCCACAGCCGGATGTTGTACCTGGATGGACGAAACCAACGAATGATGGAAGAATGAACGAGCGAGGGAGCGAGCGAGCGAAGGGAACGATCGGACGACAAGCACGTGCAAATGCCAAAGAAAAGAACCGTGCACGCTTTTGATTTTTGAAGCGCCTCGAAGACCGTGCGCGCTGTTGATTTTGTATGCGCCTCAAAAACCGTGCACGCTGTTGACCGTGAAACGCGGGAGGCAAGAAGAGACAGCAAGCGCATGGACAGGGATCGTTGCCGAGCAGTGAGCACCCGCAGACGTAGGGAGTCAGAAAGCTGCGGCGCGGAAGCAGCAAGCGCATAAACAGGGCGGCGTGCGTTACAAACGCCTACGATCGCTGGCACGCGGCGAAAACGGACCTTCGCTTGCACTCGTCGTAGAAGCCGTAGATGCGGTTGATGGAGGCGCATTCGTGGTTCCCCCGCAGGAGGAAGAAGTTCTCGGGGTACTTGATCTTGTACGCCAGCAGCAAGCAGATAGTCTCCAGGCTCTGCTTGCCCCGGTCCACATAGTCCCCCATGAACAGGTAGTTAGCTTCAGGAGGGAATCCGCCATACTCGAACAAGCGCAGTAGGTCCGAGTACTGCCCGTGTATGTCGCCTGCAATGGCGCGCAACGGGATCCACAAACACACGAGGCCTTAACAAAGAAGCACCGGCAGCAGCAGCAGCAGCCATTGGGTTGCAGTCGAACGACAACGCTGAACACTGAAGACTGAGAACATCGATGAAACGCCCCCTACGACCGCATACTCTCACATGCTTTGCCAGCATCGGACCTAAGACGAATATAACGAAAGATAGACCAACTAGCTGAACTGGCGGAAGGAAATAGACCGAGCAACTAGCCGGAGCGCCGCAGAAGAGCAAAATCCCTGGAGAGCGTTTTAGGACAGTTGCGAAAGAAACAAAAGAAGGGAGGGGCAAACCTAGAACAAGGGAGGAACTGGCCAGATGAAAGAACAAGGCTGAGAGAAACTGGGGCTTCCGCACGAGAGAGAGAGGGAGGGAGGGAGGGAGGGAGGGGGGGAGAGAGAGAGAGAGAGAGAGAGAGAGAGAGGAGAGAGAGAGAGAGAGAGAGAGAGAGAGAGAGAGAGAGAGAGAGAGAGAGAGAGAGAGAGAGAGAGAGAGAGAGAGAGAGAGAGAGAGAGAGCGAGAGAGAGCGAGAGAGAGAGAGAGAGAGAGAGAGAGAGAGAGAGAGAGAGAGAGAGAGAGAGAGAGAGAGAGAGAGAGAGAGAGAGAGAGAGGGGGGGCGGGGGGTTGGAGAGAGGAGAACGACGGGGAAGCAGGAGTTGGGGGAAGGGAGAAATGGGTGGGGGGAGGGGGTGGGGAGGAAGAGAGCGCGAAGTGCAGGTGAGACTAGATACGGAGGTGAAAAATCGCAAAAGAGACGGCTATTGTGAAACCTACCACAGATCTTGATCGGAGCCTCCAGTTCCAGAAGATTGGGCTGCTGTAAGAAAATATCCCGAGACGTGGTACAAAGACTTCGAATCTCTGCTTCTGTCAGCTGAACTTGCTTCCCTGGCCGGCCGTTTCTCACATCTAGTAGTCTGTTGATGATATCGTCCAATGTCGCGTCATCCATGGTTCTCTAAGGTTTTGCTTGGTTTTTATTTTGGTTCCTTTGTTAATGAAAAAAGGGAACGAGCTAATGTCTGCCTGAAGTAAAAATGACAGATCTTGAATATATTCGAAGTGATAGAGATAGAATGAACAGAGGATGTTGTAAAGAATGACGATGTAAGGACCACGTTTTTCTCAAGCTGGAAAATGCGAGAACCTAGCCTGAACTGTTATACACCTCCAGCACCTAGCAACCAGCGGGAGAAGAAAAGCTACAAAACCTAAGGCTACTCCTCTCTAGTAGAATTAGGTGCGGGATCCCTAACAGCAACACGACTGACTCCTAATATGGACGCAGGTGAGGAATAATGAGGAATAAGTGCGTGTGGGGGAATGGTGGTTTGGGCTGGGACCAACGCGATCTCACACACAACACAACTACTGAGGGGGTATCCCTGCGTCTTGTCATTCGCGAGTGTCTTCCGATATTTGCCCTAGGAAGACTCCACGTCGTGTTCGGATGACACCGAAAGTTCCCTAGATCCGGAAATATCTGAGGCTGACACTGATCCGAGAATCCTCCCTGACCCGGCACTACAAGTAGGAGGGAGAAATACAGGTTAGGGTGGTTCAGATGTGGCAGGTGCGCCTTGAGGCCTGAAAGGCTGGTGGATGAATTTGAGGTGCGGTACGGTGGAAATAGAACCTAGAAATTTCGGTAGGGTGAGTTGTGGTTGTCGTGAAATGACCGGACCACTACTTGGTTTGGCTGAAAGAGTGATCTTCCACACCAGCCGAACCGAGGTGATGGGCCTCTCTTGCGCGGCTGGTTCGGTCTATCTTGTTCCCGAGCCTGGCTTGTGCAGCTTCTCTAGCTGCTGTGAGAATGGTGGGTGTATTTGACTGGTTGAAATTTCCTGACACCACCCGGTCCTACATCCCTGCCATCACTCCATGCTATCATGTACCTAAACCCTTGGCAACACACAGATTTCGGCACTGATCAGCTCCCGTTGTTCTCGGCTGTCCCTCTCTGGGCTCAAGTGTGCAATAGATTTCGAACAATCCCCGATTCCATTCTTTTTGAGAGCGTGGCTCAACAACTTGTCTTGTACGCGTGTCAAGGAGGCATAGCTGTACCGCGGGTCAGGTTTTCCCATCTGCGGGTGTGCGACCGAAAAGGTCAGAGGGATACATTTGATCGCAAGCGACGAAAGTATTTCCTCCATTCAACTGCCAAACTGCCTGGAATATTTCGCACATGCGAAACAAGTCCCACCACGCGATTTCGCATTCAAGCTCGCAAAGTCTCCCAACAGTTCTTTTCGGGCGACAATATTTTCAGTAGCTACAGAACGGTGTGTGAGATGGGAGGGTGTTGCCTAGTCTCCCGGCTAAAACAAGGCTGACACAATGTTACATGCTTCCGCGTGTCAGGACGACCTGACACGGGGCCCACGGATACATCATCGCGCGGTGTAGTGCGGTGCAAACCGACCAGGCAATATCAACCTCATATGAATGACATGAGCACGCTAGTAACCAAACACCTGCTCTTCAAGTCACCACACCTAGTTGATAAAATTATAACATTGGAGAAATGTAAAACTGCCTCACCAGTATTCTCGGGTTGACACACCCGAGACACCAATTCAGCTCCCACTTGACAATCTGTCAATTTTAAATGTCTACATCGATAGTGTCACCTAAAACTTTGAACGAATCAGCCACAACAGAGAAGGAGCTCGAATTTTCAAGCCAAAGGTCTGCAGGTGACTGCGCATTCATAGAGAACAGCTTGCCTTGTTTCACCGCACAGACATAAACGTTGTGACGGGAGAATGAAGCACCTTGTACAGTGTACTCCAGCCTTATGTACAGGACGCCACTTAACACCTTCTCGCTTGCATTAAGCAGGGTGGCCTCCCTCCCAGACCCTGCGGGTGCAATCACATTGGCCAAGAGCCTGTCCCCTATGCTCTCCGCATCTCCAAAGTTCCTAAGGCTGAAGGGCGTGTAGAGAAAGGAAGCAAAGCAAGGAAGCAAAACAGACGAGTATCAAGGCTTCCTCCTTTCACTCCTCCCAACAAATGTTAAAAAGTAAGTGCTCCCCGCTCACGGTCCTGCCACCTCACAAGACAAGTTTTCAACACGGACCCATTTATCCTCTCACCTGAAGCCACGTGGCACAGGAGCCACAACAACGCTCACGTTGAGCTCCCCATTCCCGCCAGGAGGGCCAAATGCCACCACCGGGTCAACTGCACTCGCCCTGCGTGCTTGCGACGACGAGGATGGGGAGGAGGAGGGGGAGGAGGAGGAGAGGGGAGGCGGGTCCAAGGACAGCTCTCTCTCTCGCCTCTCTGCTGCGCGGTACAGCAGGAGCTGGTCGCCCACCCATGAGGCTGGGAAGAGGAACTCTGGAGTTGTACCAGGGAGGAAGGCAGAGAGGGGAACAGGGAGGGAAGGGGAAGTAGGAGGGAAGGGGAAACGGAGCCTCTTTGGACGAGTGCCAGGGAGTGTGGTTCGGCATGAAAGAAGGGTTTCACGCATTGGAGACTTGAGAAAAGCCACGGTTAGTAGCTCACGAAGCAGAATTTAATTCAGTCACATTGATCCCTACGGAATCCACCTACAGGGTGTTTTTGAGAATTCTCAAAATCATCCCTATACGGAATCCACCTACACAACTACACAATCGCCATACTTGTCCACGAGAATTCCCCAAACACATATTACAAAGAAAGCGCGGGCGACAACCTCGTCCTCCTCCGCGACCCCCATCGCACTCACCGAATCCATTCGCAGTGTCATAGCACCGCTTGTACCCCTTGATAGGAAATAGCACATCCAGCCGGGCTGACCGAGCAGGCTCCTCCACCGTCCCCAGGAGAGCACTCGTGGACCCCAGAAAATTCGACCCCAGCGCTAAGCCGGCGAACCCTAACGCTCCGAGGACCAGCCGTCTCGTGGAGGGCAACCGGCCACCCCATGTAACCACCGACGTTGGCGAAAGCAGCAGGGCTGGTTGAGCGGGGGGTGGGGACGGTGGTTTCTGGGGGGCGGTGCTAGCTGGGACTGGGGGTTGCGGACTAGGTGGGTCGGATTCTGGGGGAAGGGCGGATGCGCGGAAGGTGGAGCGAGAGCGGAACGAGGAGTTGCGTGCTCGAGTCGGAAGTGCACGGCCTAGGGGATTGCGTGAAGTGTTGACGCGGTGGCGGAATATGGCGGTTTTAGGCGAGTGAGAGCCGCGTTCAGTGGACGACGTCCAAGGAGCGGGCGAACAGGCGGGGAATGGAGGCGCGAGCAGGAAAGTTGCCATAATGGAAGGTGGAATTGAGTGAATCAGTTGGTCACTGTGGTTGAAGTAGACCCAGGGAAATCGGCATGTCAGGCCAGGGGCTCCCCGTGCCGAGAGGCGAGCCCACGTGCAGGGGGCAATTCTCTCCCTGGATAGTACGGTACATGCATTCCATACCTGGTGAATAATAAAAGCAGTTCACAAGGATGGATACAGTTCCATAAGATAATGTATATAGTAGAATGCGTGAACGAATAAGGATTATCTCGTAATTTCTCTAGCAATGAAAGAAGGGGCTAATGTAGCAAAGTCGGAACACAAATTTTGACAGAGGTTTTTTTTAAGGGTTTGGGTTTGAAGTTGAGCAGCTAAGGGCGCGGTGCATTTCCGACCGAAATGGTTTCCGGCAATTTCGAGCGCACAACCCGTTCGTCCCGTCCTGACCGATGTTCGAAAAAAGAGGTGCAGAATACAGGGGTTCAAGGCGACAAGGAACTTGTATCCATAGCGCGGTTCGCCTTTTCGGTTCGTGCGTTCGTTTTTGCGAGAGTTACATTTCGAAGTGTCTTGACCGACGTGGTACATTATTGCGCTGTAGATTGGTTACAAAACCGGTTACCACGTAAATTTCTAAAACGTTCAAGACTCGAACTCGACCTGTTCCAAAATGTACTACCCCCTATTGAATGGATCCTTTTCGGAGCATCTTCCCCTCGCATCTTCCCTTGTCGCGAATATTTCGCGATTCAGTGTAACGTGGCCTATCGTTGTCGCCGCCACCGTTCCGCAAGTGAATCCTCGAGGCAGCATTGACATATCACCCACAGACAGCGCACTGGGCGCCACCGCGCAACCGCTGGATGGCAGGCAGCCACACACACAGTGCGCGCCGTTCGATGTTTCCAATTTCTCAGCTGCCCAGCTTCCAAATAGGGTACAGCACAAATGCGATGCACACCGGAGAGGGAACATGATGGAGATAAAAGGGCAGCGCAACCGTTTTTTTGAACTACCTGAGCAGATCTGATAAGAGTTTGAATCTGCCATGAGACGCAGGACCCACACTCTGCTCCGCTCATTCTGTAGTGTCGTCCTGCAGCGAGCCTACCTGCTTGCCTTCGTGGACAAAACCGTAGCAAGACTCAAAAGTTCCTTCCAGCCCAAGCCAAAGGTGTCAGCTTTGCTGGTTGCCTACAGTAGTTGGTGGGCCATCAGTGCAGCTGCCGTTTGGTTTGAGCACTTTTTTGTACGCCTCGCTCGTCCTTTTGCTTTGGTTCGCTAGCTGTCGCAACCCTAGTCGTCGCTTTTAGGTAACCTGTCGCAGTATTGCCTCGTGGAACGACGCTATAGTTGGCGGCTTGTCACGTGGCGGATGGGCATGCTAACGACGTAGGCTCATCACTTCCTAACTTATTATGTGAACCCATCAGCACGGCCCGTACGGAACTAGAACCGCCATGGACGCTGACGTCAGCATAGATGGCATGAGCGAGGACGAGAGCAGAGGAGGCTATAGCGACTCCTACGCCAGCGATCGCGGCGACGATCCCGGCTGGAAACCCGGCACTGGCTGGCGCAAAGCTAGTGCGTGGAAGAAATTAGTTTCGGGAGCGCGGCGTTTAGTGACGGGCAGAAGACGGAGGCGCGACGATGCGGGTGGTGAGGATGACAATAGCGAGTATTACTCGGATGGGGCGTATTCGGATCAGGGGATGTCCATAGCGGAAGGGAGCGTGGCGGCGTCGGCGGTCTCGTACAGTCGCGCCTCCACCAGGTACAACCTGCAACCTACAGGCATATGTATTTTAAAGGTCTTGTGGACATTCAGGTACATGTTTCTGCAGGCACACTCGAAGGTTCAATTACCAAATACCATCTCTTGCGTTCAGGGTCGTTCCTAGCATTGCTTCTATTGCGCGAGTCATGGATCCCATGCTTTCATAAAGCGACCTCCTTTCTTACCTTCCCCGTTCGGCCTCTCTATCCTCCTCATCCTACCTCATCCCCTTTCCGCCATCTTGCCTTCCCCCTCCCCTCTCCTCCCGTTCCGCCCTATGCCCGCTCCGCCCGCTCCGCCCGCTCCGCCCGCTCCGCCCGCCCTTGTCTCCATTGCCTCCGCATCCCCTTTCCCAAGCGCATGGTGGGCGCACACGGATAACTACAGCAACCCCTACCGCCGCCGCTCCGCCCACGCGGAGCAGTACCTGCAGCAGGGGGGAGGGGGAGGGCACGCGCAAGGGTACGGGCGCGGAGGCAATGGGGGCAAGGGGGGGAAGCGATCCGCGCTGGATGACGTGCTGGTGGACCTATCAAGCCAGCTGCAGGGGTCGCAGGGGGAGGGAGCGGAGGGGAGCATGGCGGAGGGAGAGGGGGAAGGCGAAGAGGGCGCGGGGGAGATGCCTGGGCCGTGGTTCTGGCCGTCGTGGTGCCCGTGGCCGTTCCCGCGCGTGCGCAACCCCATCCTCGTGTACCGCCTGGCGGCCATGGTGCGCAGGGCAGGGGGGGAGGGGGGGAGAGGGGAAGAGGGTGCGGGGAAGGGGGGAAAGGCGGGGTGGGAGGGGATTGTTTGAAGGGGGGAAGGGGTGGTAGTGCGGAGGGGGGAGATGGAAAGGGGAAGAGAGGGAAGGAGGGGGCAGGGAGGAGGCTTGGGGAGAGGAGAGTGATGAGGAGGGAGAGAGAGAGGGAGGGAGAGGGAAGGAGAGGGAAGGAGAGGGAAGGAGAGAAGAGGAGAGAAGGGAAAGGAGTGAGAAACTGAGGGTAGGAGAGGGGAAGAGCAGGGAAGGATCGGCAGGGGAAAAAAGGGGAGTCAAGGATAGGGAAAGAGAGCGAAGGAGAGCGAAGGAGAGGGAAGGAGAGGGAAGGAGAGGGAAGGAGAGTGGAAGAAGGGATTAGAGGGGTTAATCTTTAGATGGAGCAGCCGTCTCGGCTGTTGTCTCCTCATTCCTCCCTTCACGCCCTGATGTTCACTTTTTGCTGTGGCTGATGGTGGTTGCTTCTGTCGGCCGTGCATGAGTGCATGCGTGCTGGGTGCATGGGTGCATGTCTGCATGTCTGCATGTCTGCATGGGTGCGTGTGTGCGGGTGCATGGGTGCATGGGTGCAAATGTGCATGTGTGCATGGTTGCAAATGGTCATGTGTGCATGGGTGCATGTGTGCATGGGTGCATGGTTGCATGGATGCATGGGTGCATGTATGCATGGGTGCATGGGTGCATGGGTGCATATGTGCATCGGTGCATGGGTGCATGGGTGCATGGGTACATGTGTGCATGCGTGCATGGGTGCATGGCTGCATGTGTGCATGAGTGTATGGGTGCATGTGTGTGTGCAGCTGCTAGTGGCTGTAATCATCTTCCTGCTCACCTTCTTCACATGGCTCCTCACCAGCTCCTACTATAACAACTCCGTGCAGGTGCGCTGTGCTTATGTGCGCTGTGCTTGTGTGTGCTGTGCTTATGTGTGCCGTGCATATGTGTACCGTGCTTATGCGCGCTGTGCTTATGTGTACCGTGCTTATGCGCGCTGTGCTTATGTGCGCGTGCGTATCTGTGCACTTGCATGCGTGCGTGCGTGTGCGTGAGTGAGAGGGAGAGTGAGAGAGAGAGTGAGCTCACATGTCCCAGAATTCCTCTGCTTCTTACTCCGCTCTTCCTTTCCTCCCTGCAACCTCTCCGCGCCCCTTCTCCTTCCCCACTCTCCCCGCACTCCCCCCTCACTCCCCCCTCACTCTCCCCTCACTCCCCCCTCACTCTCCCCTCACTCCCCCCTCACTCTCCCCTCACTCCCCCCTCACTCTCCCCTCACTCCCCCCTCACTCTCCCCTCACTCTCCCCTCACTCCCCCCTCACTCTCCCCTCACTCTCCCCTCACTCTCCCCTCACTCCCCCCTCACCCTCCCCTCACTCCCCCCTCACTCTCCCCTCACTCCCCCCTCACTCTCCCCTCACTCTCCCCTCACTCTCCCCTCACTCCCCCCTCACCCTCCCCCCACCCCCCCTGGCTTTCCCCCTGCCCTCCTCCCGCTCTCCCATCACTTTCTCCCCCCACTCTCTTCCCCCCTCCCCCGCCCGCTCTCCCCCAGACCCTGACAATGAATTACCGAAAGCAGCTGCTGACGCGCACGCAGGAGCGCGTGGGCAGCATAGTGGAGAGCACGCGCAACGTGTCGCTCACGTACGCTGCTGCACTTCAGGCCACCCTGGCGGCGCAGGAGGCGGCGCACGGGGCGCTGCACGAGGGGCACGTGGACGTGGGCTGGCCCATCATCAACTCCACTGTGAGGGGAGGAGGGAGGGGTGAGGGGGGGAGGGGAGGGGGAGGGGGCATGGAGGGGGGCATGTGTGGAGGGGGGGGAATGGGGGGGGAACGGGCATATGGGGGCGAGTTTTGAGACGTCTCAAAACGTGGACGTGGACTGGGACGTCGTCAACTCCACTGTGAGGAGGGAGGCGGGGCATGTGGGGGAGAGGGGGGCGGATTGAGATGCGCGGATGAAGCATGCGGGGATGAGGTAACATGCTCGTGTATGCATCAAAGGCAGACGCAGCGTCCCCCCCCCCCCCCCCCCCCCCACCCCCCCTGCCAAACGCCCAGGTGCGGGAGATGACGTGGGCGGTGTATGCATCGAACGCGGACCGCGTGTCGTCGGTGTTCTTTGGGTCGGTGAACGGGATGTTCATGAGCTACGCGTCCACGCTGCAGCAGCGCTTCTGCGTCTACAGCAGCCGGCCGCACGCCCACGTCTCGCTCACCAAGTCGCAGAACTTCACGTCACAGGTGGGGTGGGGACGGTGGATGGTAACACGTGTTGGGAGCATGTGCCGGGAGCATGTGCCGGGAGCATGTGCCGGGAGCATGTGCCGGGAGCATGTGCCGGGAGCATGTGCTGGGAGCACATGCTGGGAGCACATGGTGGTATGCTGGAGGGATTGTTCCATGGCGGCCTCTCCCCCTAAACCCAGACTTTCAGTCGACCCAAAAGTCACGCAATCAATCTCTCTGTGCGTGGCCTCTCAATAAGCAGAGAAGTTGTTGCCTTTGGCATGTGTCCCATTCCCTTTCTCACTTGTGTTTTCTTTTCTGCGCCCGGTGCCACCTGGCAGCCTGTGATTGGCCCCACAGCCCTGTCCCTGAGCAATGTCTCGTACAGTCTCAACGGCACTGCTGTCACTGACGTCTGGCCCACCTCACCCCCTCCGGCTCGACAGGTGACCTTCCCACGCCCTCTATCGTTCTCTTGGCCTCTTGCAATTTCACACTAGCGCTTTTACATCGCGTGATAGAAGTCTAGTTTTGAGGCGCCTAAAAAAACCGCGTGATAGAAGTCTAGTTTTGAGGCGCCTCAAAACCTTCCCACGCCCTCTATCGCTCTCTTGGCCTCTTGCAATTTCACACTTATGCGTTTTTTCATCCCTACACGTGTAGTGACACTGACACCTCAGCTCCCTCTGTCTCTTCCCCCCCTCTCCACCCCCCTTCCACTCTCTCGCTTCTCTTGCCCCCCTCCCTCCCTCCCCCGTCACCTGCGCAGGTGGAGTGGGCAGTAGCCAGAGTAACCGACGACACCCCCCCCATGATATTCGCCTTTGCCACAGTCGCCCCCAGCAGTCTTCTCCTCTCCCCCATCTCGTCCACCGCCCCCCCCCTGGGCTCGGCCCCTCAGCTAGGGGGGGTGCTGCGGCAGCCGCAGCAGCCCCCGGGGGGGGAGCAGGCAGAGGCGCTACCTGGGGGGGGATCGTTGGGGTATGCGGGGATAGCGGGGGTGGCTCAGCCGCTGGAGGGCGTGCACCGGTTTATAGAGCAGCTGGACGTGCTCAATGGGCTGCTCTATGTTGTATGGTGAGCTGAGCGCTGGGGGGGAGGGGGAGGGTGAGGGGGAGGGGGGAGGGGAGGGAGGAGAAATGGAAGGAGAGATGGCGGGTTTGCTTGTGTGTAGGAAGTGTGGTGGCTGGGGTGCGCTTGCTTCTTCCCTACGCAACCACAGAGAGAAGCAATCAGCTCCCCACCCCCCTTTCCTTCTCCTCCTCCCCCCCCCCCCATTTCCCCCTGACCAACCACGATTCCTAGGCTGAACGAGAGTGAGGCGCGGGTGATAGCATCCTCGGCCACCAACGGCACTCTCTACACCAACCCCGCGCGCTCCAACAACTCACTCCTCGCCATGGCTGCCGCCTTCCTGGAAGGTTCCTTCTCCCGGCAGGACCTGCTGCGTGCGTGCACCTTCTCTGACAAGGTCAACGGCAACCCCGAGGCCCCCGACAGCCAGTACTACGTCGACAGCTGTCCGCTCTCGTCGCCCCTGTTTGAAGACCTGCAGCTGGTGGGTTGGTATTGGGGGGGGGGTGAGGGCCGGGTGTGGGGGGAGAGGAGGAGGAGAGGGGGTGGTGAGTTGAGAACGGGGAGGAGAAGAGGGGTATGGGTTAAGCGCCTGTGTGTGGTTGGTGGGGTAGGGGTCGGCGGCGGTGGTGGTTCTTTCTTTGTTGAGAGGATGCATGGGGTGTGGCGGTTTATGGTGTTTCTGGGAGCAGTGTGGGGTTGGTTGGAGAGACCCGGTTCTCTGTGAGCCACTCCTCTCCTCTCTCATGGGAGCCCTTGGATAGCACCCATAGCTGCTACGTGATGGTGCTTCTCCGTTTGCCCTCTGTCTCGCCAGGTGGTGGCTGCGGGGATTCCGCACAGCAGCAGCATCAAGGGGGCGATCGAGACTAAAACGCCCCCTGTTGCTACTCCTCGTTTCCCCCCCTGCCTGCCTGCCCTCCCAACCCAACACCGTCTACTGCCTCTCCTTTGTCACGCCACGTGGTGGTGGCTGTGATGGCTTGCAGAAGAGCCGTATCAGCGATAGGGATTGCAGCGCCTTTTGCACCTCCTGCCCCTCCCCCTCCACTGCACTGCAACCCCTGCCTCCCACCCTCCACAGTATCCCCTGCCTCACCCTCCACTGCACCCCCTGCCACCCCGTCCACTGCACCCCCTGCCTCTCCTCTCCCACTGCACTGCGCCCCCGGTCCCTCGGCAGGTGGTGGTGAAGGTGATACCGCATAGCAGCATCATAGCAGAGACACGTGATTGAAGCGCCTTATGCACCCCCTGTTTCTGTCTCCCTCCACTGCACCCCCTGTGTCTCCCTCCCTCTACTGCACTCCCTGTGTCTCCCTCCCTCCACTGCACCCCCTGTGTCTCCCTCCCTCCACTGCACCCCCTGTGTCTCCCTCCCTCCACTGCACCCCCTGTGTCTCCCTCCCTCTACTGCACCCCCTGTGTCTCCCTCCCTCCACTGCACCCCCTGTGTCTCCCTCCCTCCACTGCACCCCCTGTGTCTCCCTCCCTCTACTGCACCCCCTGTGTCTCCCTCCCTCTACTGCACCCCCTGTGTCTCCCTCCCTCCACTGCACCCCCTGTGTCTCCCTCCCTCCACTGCACCCCCTGTGTCTCCCTCCCTCCACTGCACCCCCTGTGTCTCCCTCCCTCTACTGCACCCCCTGTGTCTCCCTCCCTCCACTGCACCCCCTGTGTCTCCCTCCCTCCACTGCACCCCCTGTGTCTCCCTCCCTCTACTGCACCCCCTGTGTCTCCCTCCCTCTACTGCACCCCCTGTGTCTCCCTCCCTCCACTGCACCCCCTGTGTCTCCCTCCCTCCACTGCACCCCCTGTGTCTCCCTCCCTCCACTGCACCCCCTGTGTCTCCCTCCCTCCACTGCACCCCCTGTGTCTCCCTCCCTCTACTGCACCCCCTGTGTCTCCCTCCCTCCACTGCACCCCCTGTGTCTCCCTCCCTCTACTGCACTCCCTGTGTCTCCCTCCCTCCACTGCACCCCCTGTGTCTCCCTCCCTCCACTGCACCCCCTGTGTCTCCCTCCCTCTACTGCACCCCCTGTGTCTCCCTCCCTCCACTGCACCCCCTGTGTCTCCCTCCCTCCACTGCACCCCCTGTGTCTCCCTCCCTCTACTGCACCCCCTGTGTCTCCCTCCCTCTACTGCACCCCCTGTGTCTCCCTCCCTCCACTGCACCCCCTGTGTCTCCCTCCCTCCACTGCACCCCCTGTGTCTCCCTCCCTCCACTGCACCCCCTGTGTCTCCCTCCCTCTACTGCACCCCCTGTGTCTCCCTCCCTCCACTGCACCCCCTGTGTCTCCCTCCCTCCACTGCACCCCCTGTGTCTCCCTCCCTCCACTGCACCCCCTGTGTCTCCCTCCCTCCACTGCACCCCCTGTGTCTCCCTCCCTCTACTGCACCCCCTGTGTCTCCCTCCCTCTACTGCACCCCCTGTGTCTCCCTCCCTCCACTGCACCCCCTGTGTCTCCCTCCCTCCACTGCACCCCCTGTGTCTCCCTCCCTCTACTGCACCCCCTGTGTCTCCCTCCCTCTACTGCACCCCCTGTGTCTCCCTCCCTCCACTGCACCCCCTGTGTCTCCCTCCCTCCACTGCACCCCCTGTGTCTCCCTCCCTCTACTGCACCCCCTGTGTCTCCCTCCCTCCACTGCACCCCCTGTGTCTCCCTCCCTCGTGTCTCCCTCCCTCCACTGCACCTCCTGTGTCTCCCTCCCTCAACTGCACCCCCTGTGTCTCCCTCCCTCCACTGCACCCCCTGTGTCTCCCTCCCTCCACTGCACCCCCTGTCCCTCACCCGGTGGTGGTGGCGGTGATCCCGCGCAGCAGCATCATAGCAGCGACACGGGTTGAAGCGCCGTTTGCACTCCCTGCCTCTCCCCCTCCACTGCACTGCACCCCCTGTCCCTCACCAGGTGGTGGTGGCAGTGATCCCCCGCAGCAGCATCATAGCAGCGACACGGGTTGAAGCGCCGTTTGCACTCCCTGCCTCTCCCCCTCCACTGCATTGCACCCCCTGTCCCTCACCAGGTGGTGGTGGCAGTGATCCCGCGCAGCAGCATCATGGGGGCGATTGAGAGGGGGAGCATGGTGACGGTGTGGTCGTGCTTCGCCATCTCCCTGGGCCTGCTCGTTGCGGGCTGCCTGCTCATCCTCAAGATGACCTCACGCATCAACGTCGAGTGGGAACTCAAACAGGTGGGTGCAGTGCGGTGGGGCGCGGTGCCGTGCTGTGCGGTGTTGTGCCGCATGGGGTGCTGTACGGTGTGGTGTGTGGTGGTGTGTGGTTGTGTGTGGTGGTGTGGCTTGTGGATAGACCCAGGAGTTTGGCGGGATGGTATGCAGCAGAGAGGTGGAGTCCGGTTGAGTGGGGATTGCTGCGCTCTGGCTGTGCTGCATGGATGCGGAGTGTATGTAAGTAAAGAGTATGTGAGCGGTGGGTGCTGGGTAAAATTGATTTCTCCAGTCTTATTGTGACGCCTGTCTCCTCTTTTATCTCCTCACTCCCTTTCAAACTCCTCCCTCCTCGCTCTCTTGCCTCGCCCTCCCGCTTCCTTCCTCCCTTCCTCCTTCCCTCCTCCCCACGCCACACCCCCCCACCCCGCCTTTCTCTCCCCTATGCTCCCCCCCGGTCCCTATCTTGCACGCTCACTTACTCTTTTTCTCCTCCCCCTGCTAACTCTCCCTCCCCCCCCGTTACCCCCCCGCTCTTCCCCCCCCCGCCTCACCCCCCCCCTCTCTCAGGAGCTCATCCGGCAACTGACAGCCAAGGACCGAGCAGAGAAGTCCAGCAACTTCAAGAGCCAATTCCTTGCCAACATGAGGTGAGGAGGGGGGTGGGGAATGGGGGAGGGGGGGATGGGAGAGAGGGGAGAGAGGAGGGGAGAGAGGAGGGGAGAGTGGAGGGGAGAGAGGAGGGAAAGACGAGGTAGTAGATGAGGGAAGAGAGGGGAAGAGAAGAGAGCGATGCTGCTGGTAGGGAGCAAGAGGAGAAAGGGAGTGGAGGGGAGAGGGGAGGGAGGGGAAAACGGGCGGAGTGAGGCTGTAAGTCGAAAATGTTGCATGGGAGGTTTGACTGACGGTGTGTCGCCATGGGTCCGCACCGCAAGCGGGTGGCATTAACAGCCTGCTGCACTTGCCCAACCCTCACTCACCCTCCCTCCCTTCACTCCCAACCCCTCCCTCCCCCCTGCCCTCCGCCCATCCCTTTGCTCCATCCTCTCCTCCCCCTCTTCCCAGCCACGAGCTGCGCACGCCAATAGCGGGCAGGGCAGGCATCATCAGGCTAAACCTGCTATGCTGCGAGGTGCTGTTGGAGGAGCAGGAGACAACCGTCCCTCTCCCTCGACTCCCCAAACCCACCCCCCTCTCTCCTCGCCATGTCCCCCTTTTTCCTCCCCCATCCCCCACCCCCCACCTCCACCCCTCCTGTCCAGCCACGAGCTGCGCACGCCGATAGCGGGCATCATCGAGCTGCTGGACCTGCTATCCTGTGAGGTGCTGTCGGAGGAGCAGGAGGCCACCTCCCCGCTCCCCTCATCTCCCCAAAACCACCCCCCTCTCTCCCCCCCATGTCCTCTCCCACCCCCTGTGCCCCTCCTCCAGCCACGAGCTGCGCACGCCGATAGCGGGCATCATCGGGCTCTTAGACCTGCTGTCGTGCGAGGCGCTGTCGGAGGAGCAGGAGGTGATGGTGGCGCAGATCCGCCGCTGCGCCGGGGGGCTGCTCGCGCTCGTCAACAACGTGCTGGACATCAGCCACGTGCGCACGCAGGGGGGGGGGCAGGGGGAGGCGGAGGGGGAGGGGGGGTGTTGGAGTGGGGGGGAGATGGAGGACGAGGGGGGAGACGAGAGGGGGATGGGACGAGGGGAGGAATGGGGGGAGGGAGGTGGGGGAGAGAGTAGAACTCTGTTGCTTGGAGCCAGCTTTGGACTTGCTGGTCAATCAAGTTTCCACGTGCCTGCCTGGCCTTTTCCATTTCTTCAACCCTCTTCTCTCTTCCCCTCCCCCCCCCCCAACTCTCCCCCCCACCCTTATTCCTACTTCCTCTGACCTTCCCCCTTCTCCACGCACGCCCCTCCGTCCGTCCGCGTGTGTGGCTGCTCACAGCAGGCGGCACCAGGCGTGCTGGAGCTAGCAATGGCGCCACTCCACACCACATAGTGAACCATCCATCCAGCTGGTTTTAAATAAAGAACCAAATCAGCTGGATTCCACGTAGTGGAGGAGCTAGAGACGCCTCAAAAGCAACCCCCCCATGTACCAAGCAAGCACATTCCTCGTCCCTGCCCCTTCCCCTCTTCCCCCCGGCCCGTGCGTGCGTGCTGTGTGCATGTACGTGCAGGTGGATTCGGGCGTGTTGGAGCGGGCAGTGGCGCCGTTCCACATAGTGGAGGAGTTGGAGGCACCTCTCAGTTACACCATTCCCACTTACGCCAAGCAGACACCTCCCCCCACCCCCCTTTCTCTCGGCCCATGCGTCTGCGTTGGATGGCATTGCATGTATGTACGTGCAGGTGGAGTCGGGCGTGCTGGAGCTGGCAGTGGCGCCATTCCATATAGTGGAGGAGCTGGAGGCGCTCGTGGACCTCTTCTCCGTGCACTGCATCCCGCATGACATCGACATCGCCCTCGACGTCTCTGGTGCGTGTGGCTGTGCTGCTGCCCGCGCGCCACGCCACATAGGGTGCAGCGCAGTGGCTGTGCTGCAGCCTGCTTGCTGCTCTTTGCTGCTCTCTGCTGCTCTTTGCTGCTCTTTGCTGTGCTTTGCTGTGCTTTGCTACTCTTTGCTGCTCTTTGCTGCTCTTTGCTCCTCTTTGCTTCTCTTTGCTCCTTTTTGCCTCTCTTTGCTGCTCTTTGCTGCTCTTGTCCTCACATGCTGGTCTGCGCTGCGGGCGAGCGTGTTCATGTTTTGTAGCTAGCGTGCGCACCTCTCCCTTCATCCGTCTCTTCTTTTCACTTGATCGGTCCTCCCCCTTCTCATCTCTCCTCATCTCTCCTCATTTCGACTCTCAACATGTGTGTTGCCTGCACGCACCTTCCAGAGATCTTCCTAGTGGAGCAATCGTTGTAGCGATCAGTGGTGCAGATGGTTTCCACAACTGCCTCACACTTAACACAACATCTCAACCCTCCCCGATGTTACTCCCGTGGACCGCTTATCCCTCGCCTTCCTCCTTCCTCCTTACTCCCTCCTATCCTCTCCCCCCCCACACCCCCCCCCTTTCCTTCTTTCCCCCCTTCCCCTCCCTCTCCCCTTCCGTTTCTACACACTCAACCCCCACTCTCCGCCCTTCCCCTCCCCCCTACTTCCCCCTCCGCCTGCTTCCCCCCGCCGGCTACTCCCCCCTCCCCCCACCGCCTGCAGATGACTTCCCCCTGGTGGTGATCGGCGACGCAGGGCGGTTCCGGCAGATCCTGACGAACCTGCTGGCCAACTCGGTGAAGTTCACAGCCAAGGGGCACATCGTGGTCCGCGCGTGGGTGGAGAGCAAGGAGGTGCGTTCCTGTTCGTGTGTGTGTGAGAGAGAAAAGGGGGGGGGGGAGTGGTCGGTTCCGGCAGATCCTGACGAACCTGCTGGCCAACTCGGTGAAGTTCACAGCCAAGGGGCACATCGTGGTCCGCGCGTGGGTGGAGAGCAAGGAGGTGCGTTCCTGTTCGTGTGTGTGTGAGAGAGAAAAGGGGGGGGGGGAGTGGTCGGTTCCGGCAGGGGCTGACGAACCTGCTGGCCAACTCGGTGAAGTTCACGGTCAAGGGGCACATCGTGGTCCGCGCGTGGGTGGAGAGCAAGGAGGTGCGTTCCTGTTCGTGTGTGTGTGAGAGAGAAAAGGGGGGGGGGAGTGGTCGGTTCCGGCAGGGGCTGACGAACCTGCTGGCCAACTCGGTGAAGTTCACGGTCAAGGGGCACATCGTGGTCCGCGCGTGGGTGGAGAGCAAGGAGGTGCGTTCCTGTTCATGTGTGTGTGAGAGAGAAAAGGGGGGGGGGAGTGGTCGGTTCCGGCAGGGGCTGACGAACCTGCTGGCCAACTGGGTGAAGTCCACGGTCAAGGGGCACTTCGTGGTCCGCGCATGGGTGGAGAGCAAGGAGGAACGCGCACACTGCTGGCTAATGGGGGGCAGGGGAGGGCAGCGCGGGCTGATGCGTGTGTGTTTGGTGGGGGAAGGGATGGGGGGCAGGGGGGGGATTTTGTGTGAGCAAGAAGGGGGGGAGAAGAGGAGGAGAGTGGGGGAGAGGGGTTGGGGAAGGGGAGACGGGTCAGTTTTGGTTGTACAGGAGGGCAGGAGGTGAAAGGGAGAGAGAGGGAGTGAGGTATTCTTTAACCATTCACGACCCGCCATCCTCGCTCCCCCTCATCCCCCTCGCAATCCCCTCTCCTCTTCCCCCCCACTCTTCTTCCCCCCTTCTCCCCCCCCCTCCCCCACTCAACCCCAGCCCTTAGCCGCAGATCCCCTCTCCTTTTTCGGGCTGGGCGCGGCGCTCCCCTTCACCACCACGCACTCCTCCTCCACCTCCGCCTCCCTCCCATCCAACCGCCACTCCGCCTCCTCCTCAGCCACAGCCGCTGCTCATGCCGCCCCGCGCACGCACCACTCGAGCACCTTCCTGCGCCCAACCACTGCCACCACTCCCACCATGCTCACCGGCCCGTTGCACGTCCCCATGTCCGCCCTAGCCGGGCCTCTCACTAGCAGAAGGACTGACTCAAGGGTTGGGTACAGCTGGTCCAGCCTCCAGGTGTCGTCTAGTGGCCGCCCGTGGGGGGGAAGAGGCGGGATGGGGCGAGGTGGTGGATTAGGAGGGGGGCGGAGGAGGAGCCTTGGGGGGTCAGGAGTGCTGGAGGGGGGAATGGGCGGGATGGGGGGGATGGAGGTGGAGGAGGAGGAGGTGGTGCTAGTGTTCGAAGTAGACGACACGGGGTGCGGCATCCCTGTGGACAAGCGAGAGCAGGTGTTTGGCAGCTTTGTGCAGGTGGATTCCTCGTCCACGCGCACGCACGGGGGGTCGGGCCTGGGGCTGTACATTGTCCGCGGACTAGTGGAGCTCATGGGAGGGGGGATCTCCGTGGGGGATAAGGACGACGAGGGTACACTCATGAGGTTCCATATCCGGCTCAAGACCCCGCCTCCCCCCCCGCCTGCCCCGCCGCTGCTGCAGCTGCCGCTGCCCTCGTTGGGGGGCCCTGCCAGGTGCGTGTCGGGATTTGGGAAGGGTTGGGGGGGGGGGGGGGGGGGGGTTAGAATTCTCAAAAATGACTCCACTGCTGCAGCTGCCGCTGCCATCGCTGGGGGGGCCTGCCAGGTGCGTGTGGGGGGTGAGAGGGGGGGGTGAGGGGAGGAGGGGAAGGCAGGGCGTGCTTTATTCTTCCGCCTGCATCGCTCCTCGTGGTTCTCCCTTTCGCCCCCCTCCCCTCCCACAGCGCACCTTGCCGCTCCTACGCTCCCTGGCAACTCCTCCTCACCTGCTCCGCCTCACCTTGACCAACCCCCCCACCCCCCACCCCACCCTTCTTTCTCGCACGCACACAAGACACACACTCGCTCTCCTCTCTCTCCATCTATTTCTTCTCCCTTCCCCCTCTCGCTCCACTACCCCACTTGTCCGTGTGTTTGTCTCTCAGGTACGGCTCTGGCATCCCTCTCATTCAAGCCACAGACGCAGGCAGCATCACTTCAGGCGCCGAGAGTGGCATTGCTGCGGTTGCCTCCGCTCCTGCTGCCACCACAGCGGCCAGTGCTGGCATTACCAGTTCCTCTGCTGCTGCTGCTGCCGCGGGAGCAGCAGCTGGAGGGGAGGGCAGCACAGGAGCAAGAGAGGGGGGAGGAAGGGGGGGAGCGGGAGGGGAAGATGGCGGGGCAGAGAGTCCAACGGACTGGGGTGGTGCTGGCAGTGTGGGTCCGGTGGGAAGCAGTGGCCCCGGCCGTTCTGCATCCACCATAGGCGGCAGCTCTGCTGTTTCCGGACTTAGCGGCCTGCGTGCTTTCCTTGGCATGTCTGGCACTCTGGCGCCCAACCACAGCGACCATGCTGCTGTTTGGAGTGGCCTGAGCCGAGCAGGATCCGGGGTAGCGGGAGGGGTGGGTGGTGGTGTGGGAGGAGGGGGAGGAGGAGGCGGAGGAGGGGGCGGGGGAGGAGGATTAGCGGGGCAGCAGCCGCAGCTGAGTAAGCCTCTTCAAAGAGTGACCCACAGCTCGTTATTAGACGGCACCCAGGACTTCACCGGGGCAGGCGGCGGCGGGGCAGGAGGCGGCGGGGTGAGGATCAAGTGGCATGTGCTTCTCGCCATGTCGGAGTGCCCGGGGAAAGCCGTGGCGTCGCGTTGGTTTGAGGTGCAGGGGCTGGGAGTGAAGCAGGTGCGGTCGTGGGACAGCATTGCCCCCAGTCTCAACTACGTGCTGCATGCCTCTGCACTGCCCTCTGTGGTCTCCTGCACCCGCGGGGGGCACGGGGGACATGGGGGCCAGGGCGGGGCGGTTGGGCGCACAGGCATGGGTGCTTCTGCTAGTGCTAGTGCTAATGTTAGTGCTGTTCCCTCTGTGTCGGCGACCCCTCGAGCCCTCACTCCCGCTGCTGCTGCTGCTGCTCCTGCTGCTGCTGCTGCTGCTGCTGCTGCTCCTGCTGCTGCTGCTGCTGCTGCTACTGGCGCTGCTAACCCTGGTGGCGGTAGCGCCAGCGGCCTGTCCTTCTCTCCTGCTGCCGCATCTGCCTTGCGCTCGTCCTCACCCCAAATGGCTGGGCCTGGGGTCAGTGGCAGCAGCACTGCCTCCGCTCCTTCTGCCAGCTCAACCGTTCCCACAGGCACCGTCGAAAGAGCAGCAGGGGGAGTAGGGGGGGGAGGGGGATTCGGAGGTTTAGGTGCAGTGGTAGGGGCAGGAGGAGTGAGTCGGGGAGGGGTAACAGGTGCATCATCTGTGGCAGCGCGGCTAGCCGGCGCACAGGTGCTGCTGCAAGCTTCCCAAGGGGGCCTGTCTCTCTCACACAGCAACCCTGAGCTCGTCACCTCGCCTGCTGCTGTTGCTGCTGCTGCTGCTGCGACCGCCGCTGCTTCTGCGGCCTCTGCTGCTGCTGCCGCTGCAGCTGCTGCAGTTGAGTCGGAAGCAGCAGGTGAGGCAAACGGCACCTGTAGCAGCAGCAGCAGCAGCACGGCAGCCACGGGCGGTGGTGGGAGGACAAGATTAGGAACGATCGAGAGCTTCTGGCCTTCGGCTGTGCCGCGCTCCCGATCCATCCATGTAGGTTCGGACAGCCTCTCATCCCTCTTTGGTACCTCTGGTTACTCCCTCTCTCCTGCTTCCACCTCTGCTGCTGCTGCCGATGGTGGTGGTGGTGGCAGTGGTGGCTCGAGAATCACTGGGGTCCGTGCCCTTCGCTCGCTCTCCCCTCTCTCCGTTACTCTTCCAGACCCCACTGACGCCTTGCCCCTCGACGACCTTTCGGGGGGTGGGGGGAGTGCAAGGGAGGGCGCAGCAGGGCCGGTATTGGCGCGCTTTGCGGGCCTGGCTGGTGTGACTGGCAGCGGCGGCAGCGCCACTGCTGCTGCCGGCAGCGGCAGTAGTGGTGGTGGTGGTGGTGATGGGTATGGGAACACGAACGGTGGATTGTCTTTGAAGTACCGCACTCGCAGCGGCAACCTTGAAATGGTTTCACGATCCGCTGCTGCTGGGGGTGGTACTGGTGGTGTTGTTGGGGAAGTTGGAGGGGGGCCAGGAGGACGCTTAGCATCAGCAGGAGGGGTGGAGGAGGAGGAGGAGGAGGAGGAGGAGGAGGAGGAGGAGGAGGAGGAGGAGGAGGAGGAGGGAGGAGGAGGAGGAGGAGGAGGAGGAGGAGGAGGAGGAGGAGGAGGAGGAGGAGGAGGAGGAGGAGGAGGAGGAGGAGGAGGAGGAGGAGGAGGAGGAGGAGGAGGAGGAGGAGGAGGAGGAGGAGGAGGAGGAGGAGGAGGAGGAGGAGGAGGAGGAGGAGGAGGAGGAGGAGGAGGAGGAGGAGGAGGAGGAGGAGGAGGAGGAGGAGGAGGAGGAGGAGGAGGAGCGGGAGGTACCAGAGGTGTCTTCACTTCGTTCCTGTCATCCAAAGCGTCGGCACCGGAGCCCTATATGAAGAAGAGCAGCAGCAGCGGCAGCACGGGAGGTGGCATACAGTCAGCTCGGATGGCCGCTGCAGCTGCTGCAGCAGCCGCATCCGGGACCGCAGGAGGAGGAGGAGCAGGCACAGGGCAAGCAGCAGCAGCAGCAGCAGCATCTGCAGCGGCAGAGGCAGCGGCAATGGTGGAGGTGTCGTGTATAGCAGTGGTGGTTGATTTGATGCTGTTGCCGGGTGGGAAGCACCTATGCACAGCGCCAGCAGATACCAGCGGCCTGGACCCCCTAGCCGTTGGCGCGTCCTCTGCTGGCATGCCCGCTCTCCTCCCCTCGTTCCCAGGTAATCTGGACGGATTCGAGGAGGCTTATATGGAGGACGAGTGGGGCAGGCCAGGGGGGGGCGGCGTGGGTGATGGTGCTGGTGGTGGGGCAGGCGGACGGGGAGCAGGAGCGGAGGGGGGAGCGGGGCAGGCGCAGTACCCACGGCAAGTGCCAGCAGAGGTAGCCCAGCTGTGTGAGGAGATGAAGACGCTGCGGGGGAAGCGGTGCAAGGCGAATCAGCACCTGCTGGTGGTGTGGCTGCTGCCTCCAGGCGTCCACCCTGTGGTCCGCCGGTTCCTGCAGCAGCAGCCGTGCACGCTGCTCACATCCCGCCCCCTCCACTCCTCCCGGCTTCGCAACTTGCACTCGGCTTTGCTCCGCCTGGTGTCTCCTCTTACGGACCAGCCTGGTGCGGGCATCGGCGCTAGTGTTAACAACACAATGGGAACCACCGCCACCGCCACCACCAGCGCCACCAACAACAACACCACCACTGGCAGCGGTATCAACTACAGCTATAGCTACAGCAACGCCACCAGCCACAGCGCAAGCAACGGCACCACCACCACGCACCCCCCTCCCTTCTCCCTCACCTCGTCTCTTTCCGACATCACCTCCTTCTCTAGAGCCATCCCAAACTCTCTGATGGGGCTTGATTACAACCCAGACCCATCGTCCCTCACCAACACCACAGGTGGGGTTGGCACCTTCTCTGGGCGCCTGTCCATCAACCGGCCGAGCTTGGGTAGCGTTTGGGAGGCTATAATCAACCGGGGCTTACCCGGGGTGCCTGGTCCGGGCACAGGGGGCACAGGGGCATTTGGTGCAGCAGCAGCAGCAGCAGCAGCAGGGGGGCCGACACTAGGGAGGGAAGGGTCGGGTCCTGCCGCTTTTCGCTCCCTCATTACGTCTCCTGTGCAGTCCTCTGCTGGGGTATCTGGTACTGGTGCTGCTGGTGCTGCTGGTGGTTTCACAGGCGGAGGCTTTGGGGTTGCTGCAGGGGGTGGCGGAGTGGGGGGTGCAGGCGCTGTAGGAGCGGCAGGCGGGGCAGGAGGAGGGAGGAAGAGTGGGAGGAGATCCACTGCAGGGGGGATGGGGGCCGTGCGAGGGGGAGCCGGAGCAGGAGCGGGAGCAGGGCAGCACAGGCGGCGCAGCAGCTTTGATGTGGTGCTGACTCAGGGGCTGCTCGCGTCCCCTCCGGACAGCCACGTCGCTGACGCCACTGCTTCTGTTGTGTCTGCTGCTTCTGGTTCTTCCGCTGCTGCTGCTGCTGCTGCCGCCGCTGCTGCCGGTAGTGCTGGTGGGCGGGGTATTCTCTTTGACGGGGCCACAGGGGTGAGCTCGGTAGTCAGTCTTCCGTCAGCTACTCCGGGGGGCACCTGGGGGCATAACTCCATCACAAGAAGCTCTCCCTCTCCTGCCTCTGCTAGGGCCTCCTTTGCTGGCACTGCTACTGGCGTTCCTGCGGGTGTGGGTGGTGCGGGTATGGGTGGTGCAGGTATGGCTACAGTAGGCACTGGCAGATGGAGCCATGCCACGAATGCAGGCTTGGGGATGGGAGCAGGCCTGGGAACAGGAGCGGGGACGGGTATGGGCATGGGTACGGCTATGGGCATGGGTATGGGTATGGGCATAGGTACAGGTATGGGCATGGGTTTGGGCTTGGGCGTGGGTATGGGCATGGGCATGGGCATGGGTGTAGGTATGGGTGGCCAGATGCATTTGCCTCCATTGCAGCGCTCTCGTTCCGAAATGCCGCGGTTGGGGCAGCTAGAGTACTCCACAGACCGCCCCCAGTCCAGCTCCACCCTGCGCGCCTACGGCCTCGCTGCCCCGGACTCGCTTTCGCTCTCTCACATCAACAACGGCAGCAGCCGCCTTGTCACGCACAGCAGCGGCGCTGGCGGCCCTGGCAGTGCCAGCAGCAGCGGCTACCAGCGGCAATTGCTGCTTCAACAACACCAGCAGCAGCAGCAGACGTTCGGTTTGGGGTGGGGGGCAGGTACGGGAGCAGCAGGAGGAGCGGGGACCCTTGGCACAGCCAGCATGGGGGGAATGGGTCGCACACGACTCCTTCCTCTCCCCTCGCCCGCCCACCACTCGCCCTTGTACTCGTCTGGTAGGGGACGCGGGCCCCTTCGCCCCATGCACTCCCTGCCTGCTGGGATCTCCCTCTCTGCTCTCACGGAGTGTTCGCCTGTGGGGCTCTCTGCACCTGGCAGTGGAGGAGGGGGGGGGACAGCAGGTGGTGGTGGGGGCACTGGTGGGGAAGGGGGAGGCGGAGGAGGAGGAGGGAAGGGTGGGCATGGGGCCGGTGGGACTGCGGGAGGAAGAGGGGCGAATAACGAGAGAGGACAAGGGGAGGGGGGTAGAGGAGGAGCAGGAGGAGCAGGAGGAGCAGGGGGAGCAGGAGGAGCGGTTGACGGAACATTCGTTGGTGGTTCTCCTCTCTCCACTGCTGCTGCTGCGGCTACTGCTGCCCCGGGTGTGGCTGCAGATAGAGAAGCAGATCCCTCTCCCCCTCACGTGCACCTCAGTTGCCCCTCCCTGTCCTTCTCCTCTCTCCACACCTCCTTGCCCTCCTTCTCCGATGCGGCCTCTGCTGCCAGAGGTGCCACGCTCAACCCCAAACAGGGCCTCACGGCAGAGAACGCAGTGGGTGCGCCTTCTGCTTCTGCTGCTTCACCAGCGGCTGCTGCTGCTGTCTCCCCCACAGCAGGAAGAGCAGGATTGTGGGAATCCTCCTCTCCCGCAGCAGCAGCAGCAGTGAGTCCAGGGGGGCGGTCGTCTATCACACTAGGTGCTGCTCCTGCTCTCCCTGCGCTCGTCCTCTCGCCCACTCCCTCCCTCACCTCCCCCACTTTTGCTGAACCCCTCTCCCCTCAACTCGGATCATCCTGGACCCAACCCACCGCCACAACCTCCCCTCCCTCCAAGCCGCCCGGGGCCCTTTCTCCTGCTGCTGCTGCTGCTGCTGGTTTCGGTGCTAATGCGAAAGCTGGTGGCGAGGGTGGGGCCAGCGCTGGCAATGCTGCATCACGTGCCAGCTCGACCCATGCGAGCAGCCCTGCTTCTGCAGATGCAGCTGATGCGCCGGCATTAGCATCCGCATCATCCACATCAGCAGCAGGAGCAGCAGCAGCAGCAACAACAACATCAGGTGGTAGATCACTTGTTGCTCCGCTACCCAGCACCCTGCCAGCAGTGGGCACACCCCCCTCAGACGCCCCCCAAAAGTCCCCCATTCCGCCATCAATACCGCGCAAGGGAAGCCACAGGGAACTGGCCTCCTTCTTCTCCCTTGGGGGCAACAGCAGCAGCAGCAGCAGCAGCTACAACAATGGTGGAAGTGGCAGCAGCAGGAGCAGCAGCAGCAGGAGTATGTCACGGAAGGGTAGTGGAAGGGAGGTGCGGGACGGGGGCGGGGAGGGGAGTCAGGCGGGGGTAAGTGGTGGGAGTGGTGGGAGCAGTGGGAGGAGCATGGTGAGGAAGGGCAGTGGCAAGGAGGGCAGGGATGGGGGGGAGGACGCTAGTGGTGATGGCGCTGGCGCTGACGGCGCTGGTGGTGCTGTGTCTGGTGCTGGGAGGAGTAGGTTTGGAATCGGTCGCAAGGGCAGCGCTAAGGACCTGCTTGCTCTGGTAGGAGGGGGAGGCGGAGGGGGAGGAAGCAACACAAAGGCCGATGCAGCAGCAGCAGCAGCAGCGGCAGCTTCGTCTCTGCCCTCACCTGCAGGTTCCTTCACCCCCACAGCAACAACACCAGCAGCAACACCCACTGCCACCACCGCCACCAGCAGCACAAGCAGCAGCACGCCCACGAGCAGCAGCACCCCGGGCAAGATGGACAAGTCGCAGCCGCTGGCCGGCTACCACGTGCTGCTAGTGGAGGACACTGCCATCCTGCAGAAACTCGCGCAGTCGCTACTGTGGAAGCTCGGGGCCAAGGTGATGGTGGTGGGCGACGGGCAGCAGGCCGTGGACGCCGTCACCAGCACGTGGATTGCAGAAGACGCGCGGCTTGCTGCTGCCGCTGCTGCTGCTGGTGGAGGCGGGAGGGGGGGAGGAGGAGGGGAGAGGGTGGAGGGTGCTGGGACGGGTGAAGGGGAGAACCGGAGGCCGAGGAGCCGAGGGGGGTGGGATGGCAGTGGCGGTAGTGGCGGTAGTGGTGGTGGTGGTGCAGGGGAGGGTGGGGCGGATTCGGCAGTGTCACCCGGTGCGCTGCAGAGGGGCGTGGGCAGGACGGCAAGAGGGGGTAGCAGTGGTGGGGAGGCGTTTGATGTGGTTCTAATGGACTGCCAGGTGTGTGCCCATGTGCCTCGTCCCCAGTCCACTCATCCCCTCGCACCCTCCTTTCCAATACCCCCCCTTCCACCCTCTCCCATCCTTTGCCCTCCCCTCCTCCCTTTCGCATCCTCTGCCCGCCCATCCTCCATCTCATCTCTCCTCCTCTACCTCCCTGCCATTATCAACGATGTGGCTGCCATTCATATGTGTCCACCACAGCACAGCACCACGTCCACTTTTGAGACATCACAAAATTGCATGTCCACATCACCACTTCCACCTGCCTTCTTCCCTTATCGAACCGTCTTCCACACTCGTGTTTCTCCTCTCCTCCTCTTGTCTCTTCCCCCCTCCTCCCCCCCCCGCCCCCGTCTTCTCTCTCTCCCAACGGTGCAGATGCCAGTGATGGATGGGTACACCGCTACTCGCACGATCCGGGCGGCAGAGGCCAAGAACGGGCGGCACACTATCATATGTGCGCTCACTGCGCATGCGCTCGCCAGGTGAGTGGTCAGGTGGGATGCACAGTGGACAGGTCCCTGTCTCTCGTCTCATCTCTCTGCTCCCACTGTCTATTACACGTCAACACTGCACCTTAGTCCTCCACTCTTCCCCTCCCACTCCCCCCCGTCTCCCTTCCCTTCCCCACTCTCCCCCCTCCCCCCCCCCGCTCCCCCTCCCCCGCGGGGTGAGCAGTGACGAGGCCAAGTGCAGGCAGTGCGGCATGGATGGGTACCTCACCAAGCCAATCAACATCCGGTACACTGTGCTGCATGGCGTGGTGGGGAGGGCATGGGAGGGCATGGGATGGCATGGCAGGGCATGGCAGGGCATGGGATGGCATGGGATGGCACGGGACTGCACGGGATGGCATGGGAGGGCATGGGAGGGCATGGGAGAGCATGGGAGGGCATGCACAAGCCCAAGCCGTGCACAAGCCCAAGCCCTGCACAAGTCTCTGCACAAGTTGCAGCATTGCACTGCAATCCACCCCTGCCCGCTGCACCAGCCCTACGGACCACTGCACGAGCCCTGCACAAACCTCTGCACTGGACTCCGTCCATCCTCCTCCTCACGCTCCCATGCCGCCTCCACCACCACATCACCGGTCTCACTTTCATCCTTCTGCACTGCGTGCCAGTGCCAGAGAGTGCTGCCCATCGCTTCCTCACTTCCTTTATGTGCTCTCCCCCCCTCCCCCCTCCCCCCCTTGTGTCATGGTCCCACCCCATCAGCCTGCTGGTGGAGACGATTCACAAGCTTACTCGCAAGAAGAGCAATCTCGCTCGGCCCCCCTCCTCAGGCAGCATACAGTGATAGCGGGCTCGGGCACAGGGGCGGGTGCAGGGGCCGGAGCAGGGGCAGGCGCACGCAGGGGTAGATGGGACCTCACACTTTTCACCTGCCTTAAGCTTCAGTGGTAGATGTCACGCTGGGAATAACTGATTTAGATCCGTCTGCCTCAGCGCTTTGTGTGGTACACGAGTTTACCCTCTGTTGGGGAGTTGGCTTCGCTGTGCTGCTGGGCCGTGCAGGCCAGGCCCTGAGATATCAGCCTTTTTAGGCTGATTTGGGTTTCGGGTCCAGGCCATATCTTGGCATTGGCTAGTGCAAATGATACGAAATCTTTCGAGGGACCTGTTGTTGAGAAATAAGTCTCAATGGGCAGTTTGCAAACACTGGAAAATCATAGACAACAGAAAAAACAGCCATTGAAATTAAGCTAACTAGGGCTTTAAGGTTGATATCTCAGGGCCTGGTGCTGGCCTTGCGTCCTAGCTGTGCTGTGCTGCTTGCTGGCCTTGCCTGCAACTACTGAGAGTCGTGCACTGCTGTGAATAACAGACAGGAAGTGACGACGGGTTGCGGAACTGTCAATGGCGCATGCGGCGCGCGCTGTGCGCTGGATGTCTCCATTTTGAAATGAGGGTGTCACCATTTACTGGTTGTCTTTAAGCCAGGCTCGAAAGCAGACCAGTCACTGGTTGCTGAAAGGAATGGTTGGCAAGAGTGGTTTTGTACGTGTGTGCATGGCCATGTGTGTTCCTTCGTGGTGTTAAAGCCAGGGACCCAAGTTTACCGAGTGTAAAACACTCGGTTGGGTTGACGGACCAGGATTGGGTGGCGAGGGACGAGTGCTGCAGAGGAGTTGGGCGAGTGGGACGAAATAACGGCAATCGCGAATTGGGTCGCAGCAACACTGCGACCTATTTTGCGAATTCACAATTCGAATCACCACGCGAGCAGACTTCTGAACCTACACACGTCCTGCAGGCCACGCTTGGGAGCATAACCAAAACAGGCCCGACAACTGAAAAACTTAGTCTATCGGACTGTGGCAATGGAGTCCAGCGAGGCGAGAATGTCGGAAACGGCTGCAAGCGCAGAGAAGACCGAGTTCACAAGTGAGCGTTTTGTTGGGGTGCGGGTTTCCACAGCCCAAACCAGCGTCTCGGTGGTAGCAAGTAAACGGATTAGAGCACGCTGCACACACCTAGCCGGGCTTCAAAAGGTAACAAACGGGCGACGGGTCACACATCCATAGATAACCGACCGCAGTGCCGGAACCTGTAGTTATCCAGCCAAATGCGACATCCCTCGATAATCACCGTGACGCGATTGGAGAAACCGGAACCCGCGATGGGGATAAATCACCGCGAGGCGATCAAAAACGAGATCCGGTACGGAGATCTAGGCAGTACTTACAGGCCAGCGCTGCGCCACCTAAGGACACGCGCTAACACGGCGGAGCTACCACAAAATTGCTCCACGCCCCGCCAAGACACGCACTGCCCGCTGCAGTGCGATTAGGCTGCCCGTTGCATGGGCCACTTTAGAGTGGAGCCTCAAAAGCAACCGAGACCAGCCACAGAAGAGAGCTGGGAGACGCGCCGCAAAATGGCCGACTTAGGAGCGATGGGGAGCAGGGGATCGGCGGGCGAGGGCAAGGATGGGGGACTTAGAAAACAGAGAATAGGCGTGCGGAGGCGACTAGATGGTCCCCGGCGCTAGAGGTCGGCTACAAGCCGACCCGATAAATTCCACGCATATAAACCTAATGTATTCCCGGCCACCTGACCGGTAACCACCTCCCTGTTCTACGTACCCCCCTCGCCTCCTCGCCTTTGCCCCATAGCCTCCACCCCCTTTCCCCCTATCCTCCTCTCCCAGAAACCCCTTATCCTGCCCAGCATGTGACCACATCCACATATCCCTTTCCCCGTATCCCCCTCTCCCTTTCCCCCAAATCTCCTCTGCCTTCCCCCCTGTTCACCACACCCTTCCCCCCTATCCGCATCTCCCTTTCCTCCAATCCTCCACTCCCTTTCCCCCTATCCGCATCTCCCTTTCCTCCAATCCTCCACTCCCTTTCCCCCTATCCGCATCTCCCTTTCCTCCAATCATCCACTCCCTTTCCCCCTATCCGCATCTCCCTTTCCTCCAATCCTCCACTCCCTTTCCCCCTATCCGCATCTCCCTTTCCTCCAATCCTCCACTCCCTTTCCCCCTATCCGCATCTCCCTTTCCTCCAATCCTCCACTCCCTTTCCCCCTATCCGCATCTCCCTTTCCTCCAATCCTCCACTCCCTTTCCCCCTATCCGCATCTCCCTTTCCTCCAATCCTCCACTCCCTTTCCCCCTATCCGCATCTCCCTTTCCTCCAATCCTCCAGTCCCTTTCCCCCTATCCGCATCTCCCTTTCCACCAATCCTCCACTCCCTTTCCCCCTATCCGCATCTCCCTTTCCCCCAGTCCTCCACTCCCTTTCCCCCTATCCGCATCTCCCTTTCCTCCAATCCTCCACTCCCTTTCCCCCTATCCGCATCTCCCTTTCCTCCAATCCTCCACTCCCTTTCCCCCTATCCGCATCTCCCTTTCCTCCAATCCTCCACTCCCTTTCCCCCTATCCGCATCTCCCTTTCCACCAATCCTCCACTCCCTTTCCCCCTATCCGCATCTCCCTTTCCTCCAATCCTCCACTCCCTTTCCCCCTATCCGCATCTCCCTTTCCTCCAATCCTCCACTCCCTTTCCCCCTATCCGCATCTCCCTTTCCTCCAATCCTCCTCTCCCTTTCCCCCTATCCGCATCTCCCTTTCCTCCAATCCTCCACTCCCTTTCCCCCTATCCGCATCTCCCTTTCCTCCAATCCTCCACTCCCTTTCCCCCTATCCGCATCTCCCTTTCCTCCAATCCTCCACTCCCTTTCCCCCTATCCGCATCTCCCTGTCCTCCAATCCTCCACTCCCTTTCCCCCTATCCGCATCTCCCTTTCCACCAATCCTCCACTCCCTTTCCCCCTATCCGCATCTCCCTTTCCACCAATCCTTCACTCCCTTTCCCCCTATCCGCATCTCCCTTTCCCCCAGTCCTCCACTCCCTCTCCCCCTATCCGCATCTCCCTTTCCTCCAAACCTCTACTCCCTTTCCCCCTATCCGCATCTCCCTTTCCTCCAATCCTCCACTCCCTTTCCCCCTATCCGCATCTCCCTTTCCTCCAATCCTCCACTCCCTTTCCCCCTATCCGCATCTCCCTTTCCCCCAGTCCTCCACTCCCTCTCCCCCTATCCGCATCTCCCTTTCATCCTCCACTCCCTTTCCCCCTAACCTCTTCTCCGACTCCTCCTATCCTCCTCTCCCTCTCCCCCTTTCCTTCTCTCCCTTTCCCCGTATCCTCTTCTCCCTCTCCCCCCTCCTCAACACCCTTCGACCATATCCTGCACGCTGTTTCCTTCCCCCAGCACCCCCTCCCCCTCCCACCCCCCTCGTAAGACCCCTCCCCTCCTCAATTATTCGGATGTCGTCCACTTCTGCGGTGGTGTGGTGCCATACACAGTACCCTACAGCACATGGGCCCAGATAACACACCATCCTTTCGCCACTGCCACCCGCATTTGGTCACGCCACCCTCCATTCCCCTTTTGCACTTGCCATGGCACAGGCTCCAAATCCCCCCGGTCACAGGCGGAGACCACAGTGGGCGCTATTGAGAACTCCGTCAGCAAGGGGCCAACCACTCTCCCGCGGTCGACACCTATGCGCCGGATGCCACCCAGGTATGCCACCCATAACTGGCATGTGCTCGTTGGAATCTAGACTGCTGTTCCACCAGAACTGCCCCACACCAGCATTCAACATGCCTTGCCCGCTCCCCCTTACCCCCTGTCTCCCATATGTGCCCATTGCAGCGTGAGGCTGTTGCTGAAGCGGCGGCGCGGGTTGCTTGGCAGAGTTAACGAGCTTTGCCACGAAGACGACGCCCGAGCTAAGACCAATCAAGCCGGAGGGGTAGCTCCACATACACACCTTCCAAGCCACCCCGCCAACAGCCACGTCTCTACAGCCCCCCCAACCTCAACCCCGGCGGCGCGGCCGCCGCGACGCAGCCATCGGCCAACAGGAGAGCCACCCGTGCGATACATACCTGCTTTCAGCTGGTCTCTGTCCCATTTTTTGAAGACCTTTCCAAAGCAGTACGAGGTTCTTGAGCAATGGGGAGCAAATGTGCTCAACTACCCCTCAGAAAGTCAAGGTCATGTGGCCACCAGGGGGCGCACAATTGAATCAATAATAAGGGTGTGCTGTGGGGTAAACACACCGGAAACATGGGATGGGGTGCCGATCAAACCAAAGCACCACAGGTTCAGGTGCTACCTTGACTACTCCGAGCTGCTATGTGATCGCCAGTACCAGCGCATCACCTTACCCTGGTTGGTATATGTTGCTATTGGGTCACTGTATCCTGAGACAAGTACCGAGGGGTATGTGTACTGCAAAGCCGATGATGTGCAAACATTTACCGACACCTGGGAAGTACCTGCAGATATAGACTTCAAAGCCAGTACGTTTGATAGTATGGTGAGGTCACTTGTGTAACACAGAGACCCAATAGCTGAGTAACATGTGTTGGTAGGCCAATGACCATTGTACGATTGTTTCCACAAGGAAAGTGCATATGGCCCACTGCCCGCGCCATCGCTCGGATGCTGTTTAGGTCCATAGTTTGCAAACAATCGTAGCCCCGACCACCTTCCCCTACTGGGCAATCCCATCCGCTCCGGCGCCTGCAGCTTGTGCGAGGACTCCTGCTGAGAAAAACGGACGTACATTGGGGAAAGTATGACCCACCATTTGTCAGACATGGGTAGAAAGCCATGGTGTTGCGAAGGAATGCACACAGCAAGCTGAGTGACCAGCCTAAGTGTGTGGCTAGGATGGGACAGCGCCATAGGGCAGCCCACCTTAACAGCGCCGACTGGTTGGAGTTGGGGAGGGGTCAAGCTCGAAATCCCGCAACCTGCAGATAAACAAGCAGCATGGGGTGAGGGGAGGCGGGAGGGGGGAGGGGGGGTTGCTGGAGGCATGGGGAGTGGGGGATGAGCAACTGCGGCTCACCGCCCAGCCGCAAGTGCAGGCTGGTGCCAGGGTGCTGGAGGTTGGGACGTGAGACTTCCATTGAGGAGGGGGGAGGGGGGGGGGGATTGTATGGCGTGGAACAATTCCTGCAGTTCACTTTGTTAGAATCACGTCTCTTCATTGCTCGTTCCTTTCAATGCTAAGCATGTCCTGAGAATCTTGTGATTGTATCGAGCGTGCTTGTTGTGGGACGGGAGCTCAGGCCATTTTCCTGCACAAGGCCATGGGGTGTGACGTCACCACGTGTGACTATA